CCATTCATCAGTCCATGGATGCCTGGGCTCTTTCTACAATTTGGCTATCGTTGATAATGCCGTAAATATCAGGGTGCGTGTATCTGTTCAAATCCCTATTTCTGTGTCCTTTGGGTAAATACCTAGTAGTACAATTGCTGGACCATAGGGTAGTTCTATTTTTAACCTTTTGAGGAAGCTCTATACTGTTTTCCACAGTGGCTGCACCAGTTTATAGTCCCACCAGCGGTGCACTTTTTCTCCTCCTTGCCAACACTTGTTTCTTGAGTTTTTGATTTTAGCCCTTTTGACATGTACGAGGCGATATATTTCATTGTCCTTTTGATTTGCATTTCCCTGATGTCCAATGACGTTGAGCGTCTTTTCGTGTGTCTGTTGGCCATCTGTGTGTTTTCTTTGGAGAAATGTCTGTTCATGTCTTCTGCCCATTTTTAAAATGGATTATTTGTCTGTTGGGTGTTGAGTTGTATCAGTTCTTCATTTTTGGATACTAACCCTTTGTCAGATATGTGATTTGCAGGTATCTTCCCCCATTCATTAGGTTGCCATTTAGTTTTGTTGATAGTTTCTTTCATTGTGCAGAAGCTTTAATTTTGAAGTAAACCCAATAGCTTATTTTTGCTTTTATCTTCCTTGCCTCAGGAGACCTATCTAGACAAATGTTGCTATGGCCAATGTCAGACATTAGTGCCTGTGGGCTCTTCTAGTATTTTTATGGTTTCAGATCTCACGTGTAGGTCTTGAATCCATTTTGTGTTTATTTTTGTGTATGGTGTAAGAAAATGGTCCAGTTTTCCCTGTGTGAATTAAGAAAACCTTTCCAGATTGTCTTTGAACACTGTCTTTGCTTGTCTGTGGAATCATTCCTCTTGGTGCTCTCCAAAGTTTTCCTTCCTCAGGAATTTTTAAATTCAGTCAACAAATGTTTAAATGCCAGCCCCAAAGGAAGGTAAACTAAAATTTGAGGGTCAGTGATGTGTGAAGTACTCTAATACTCTTCCTTGCATATGGAGAGGAAGATGAAGCTCAGAGAGGTTAAGTAACCTGACCAAGACTACACCGCAAGTAGAGGAGGCAGGATCTGAATTCAGATAGGACCCTGTTTTCTGTCCTCAGCGTTACAGTTACTTCTCGTTTATGGTAGTCCTCTAGGGGACGCTACCGAGGCTGTTTTTAAAGATGAGGGAGGAGGGAAGACGAGTAGAACACGAAAGCTCTAATAAGCAGGCTCGTGTGCAGGCTGAGGGGAAAACAGTTAAAGGCTGAAGTGGCTTTCAAACCACAAGAATGACCTGTCCTCTGGGCCTTGGTTATTCTGATCCACAAAACGAGTGAGGCTCCAGCCACAGAGCATTCATTGTAAAGGAATTTTATCCTTTTGCAGCAAATGGTGACCCAGCTAGTTAGGCCCCGAGTGTGTCTTTTATGCACGTTACCTGGAAGATCACAAAACCCCAACAGACACTCCACACGGGACTGTTGCTTCTAGCAGCTCCTGCTTCTACCGTGTGGAAGATGAAAGCTGCTAAGTCTGACTGGCTTTGTTCAGTACGCATCACACGGCGCCAGCTGCCTTCCCGCGTCCACGTGGCTCTGTGCGGGGGCCCGGGGTGGAGAAAAGCCCCTGATCTGTGGCTGAATTCATCTTCCACCTTTAGGTCATGTCTTCAGGTAGCAGACGCTGACTTCTAGGGCAGGAGCTAGAAAGTTGTTGCAAGGACACGGACTACCCATGGGATCCAGCCACTTCCCTTCAAGTTGTTTTATAGTCCGGTCACGCAGGCTCGGGCGGGTGCGCGCGGTGGCAAGGATTGTGCAGGCCCCTTGCCGTGTGGCGCTGCTGGCCAGCAGGGGCCACTCACTTCTGGAGGTGTTGAGGGAACCGGGAGGCTATTGGGCAGAGCCCTGAGCGGTGTTCTCTCTCATCCTAGTGGCCTCCGAGGCCTTTGAAGACGACAGCTGCAGCAACTTTGTGTCTGAAGACGACTCGGAAACCCAGTCTGTGTCCAGCTTCAGTTCAGGACCAGCGAGCCCGTCTGAGATGCCCGAACAATTCCCTGCGGTTGTAAGGCCTGGCAGCCTGGATCTGCCCAGCCCCGTGTCTCTGTCAGAGTTCGGGATGATGTTCCCAGTGCTGGGCCCTCGCAGCGAATGCAGCGGGGCCTCCTCCCCGGAATGTGAGGTAGAACGAGGTGAGTTACCACGCTCTCGCCGGTAGTGCCGTGCCAGACGACTCACTGCCTGGGCAGCCAGACCCCTGCACCGTTCTAGACCTCTGCCGGCTCTCAGGACCCCCGGCGCTGTGGTACGGGGCCCTGTGAATGTGCTGTTACGCGGTCGGTATCGATCCCTGAGACGCCAGCTGCCGTCCTGGGGGCTCCCGGCTCCGCTCCTGAGCTCTTCTTCAGAGCTCACGTTGGGTTCTGGGTCTGTCATCATAGCCGTCCCCTTGACGAACGCAGGCCAGGGAGGTTTGTTTTCCAGCTGTTAGATGAATGTGACAGATCATCTCTAAAGCTAAGGAATATAGAAGATGCCTTGAGCAGTAATCCCACGATGGAGAACGCTCTGTGACAGGCACGGCTGGGCAGCGCTGGGAGATCCCAGAGGGCGGAGTTGGCTCGGGCCCAGGTGACTCTTAGAACTGTCAGTACTCACTCAATAATCTTTGCGTTTCTGTAGGAGACAGGGCAGAAGGGGCAGAGAATAAAACAAGCGACAAAGCCAACAACAATCGAGGTCTCGGCAACAGCAGTGGCAAGAGCCAAAGCAGCAGCGCCCGAGAGGGCCAGGCCTTGGAGAACAGGATGAAGCAGCTCTCCCTCCAGTGCTCAAAGGGAAGAGACGGGATTATTGCTGACATAAAAACGGTGCAGATTGGCTGACCCATCCGAAGCCTGGGCCCAAGGGCATATCCGTATTTATACATGGAGCTGTATGGAGAACCTTGTGCCAATTATCATTTAATACATGCCAAATCTTAAGTGTTTACTCTACACTGCACTAATGAAGTTGTGACCGTGAGGGCTGAAGAGTATTCTTCTGGGAAAGAGCTCTTGGGCTGGTTTGTTTTTCAGAGCAGAGGCGTTGTTGCGGTGGACTGTGACCAGGGTCACAGCCTTTGTGGAATATTACCTGTGACCGTGTTGTGGAAGCAATAACTAGTTCCTGTGAAAGAACCAGAGCCAGGAAAGGGACTGGGAAGCTGAGCCAACCTGGGGTCAACAGCTTGCTCCTCTTTCCTTTCTCTTACCCTCAGTTTGGGAAAATGGGAGATGTTCTCTCCTTTACATCCCAGGGGATCTAAATGAAAAAACACAAGAACAAAACTCACATCTTCAGAAAACACCTTTTTGACCCAGCAAAGGCTTAAAAAAAAAAAAAAAAAATCCAAGAACACGATTCCTTTTCACCACCTCTGGTATTCGGAAGGGGCTTTTAAAAAAGCATATAAGCTGGGATACCCATTAGAACCATTTTCTATAAAGGTTACCACGAACTGCACTTTTTGGGGTGGGAAAGGTGAATGCCAACGTGGGGATGGGAGGGATGGAGAGTAGCAGGGACATACCATAGAAGGTGATTTGTGGCTGTGGGAGAGAAGAGTCTGTAGCATAAACCTTATCCTGCCAGCCAAGGGACTTGATTCTTAAGAGAAGTGCATGTGAAGAATGGTTGCCATTGTTATATCTAGATTGACAAGGTGTCAATTTCTCTGTAGGTTGTGACTTTAAACATAAATTATTTAAGGGTTATGCTGCATTAGTATTTCTTAGAGGGAATCGTTCCTTAAAGATAGGAAAGGGAGTAGGCATGTGTTGGCACAGGCTGTTAAATAGAAGCAATGAAGTCTGTTATGCTAATAGTAGTAAGTGTTAAGATTGCTTTTCTTTAATGTTTTCACGGTTACACGTATTTAGAGCACTGTATTTTATTTGTCCTTTTTTGTTAAGAAAAGTTAGCATTTCTAAAAGGAAAAAAAAAGCAAACCCATTTCAAGTTGTCTGTGAATTCTGACACAGCTTGTCTATTTTAGTCATTTGTAAATCTCTTCATACTATAGTGTTTTCTCCTTTTTTAATGACTGATCCAGTATCCTAATTCCAAGGTTATTTTGTACTTGTCTTAATTCCTTGAGTGTAATAAAAATGGCTTCAGAAAATGTTTACCTTTCTGTGTCTTCAAAGAACAAACCCCGACGTTGCCTAAATCTTCCATTCTAAGCAGCCTGCTTCAAGGAGGGGCATGGAACGCAGTGACCATCGGTCCTCATTTCCAGTTAAGGTCCTGGGTCCTAATAATTGAAGTCCCGATTACCAAGGTTTGAGTTAGAATTCTACTTTGGCTGCTACTAAAGCTGAGCGGTAAGGAGACACGGCATCGGGGAAAAGTAGACAAGGTGATGGTGTTGGAGGAATGCGTCTCAGTCGGCTGCGCTTGAGTCTCCTGGGAAGCTTAAAAACTCCCTGATCTTAACCCTAGAGACCAGTATTATTGATTTGGGGTATACTTGGGTACTGAGCTTTTAAAAGCTCCCCCAGGTGATTGTCATGTGCCTCTAGTTGAGGATCTGTTTTCTGTGTTGGTCCAGCCACACCTGGTCTGCTATGTCTGTAGCACCATGCGTGGAGCTCTATTATAGAATTCAATAGTGTATTGCTCATGTGTAGGCCTCTATTAGAATTTTGAAGGCAGGGATTCGGTCTTATTTCACTTTCCACCCTGTACAATATACAGTAAAATCTTGGATTGTGGTAACTTGTTCTGTGAATGTTCTGCAAGACGAGCAAAGATTTCTAATTTTAAGTTGATACATGAGCCAGGTCTTGCAATAGTAGTATGCGATGCTGAATGTCACATGATCACAACTTAGCCAGCGGTGGTTCGTTCTCTCTGTGGGATTGTGGGTGATCGTCTCCCATGCTCAGTCTCAGGCTATAGTGTTCAGCAGAAATCAATGATTTTTCAGAATGTTGGGAGGTGCCTATAACTGGCCCTAGTGTAGTTTTTGTCATTTCAAAGCACCTACGGACAGTCCTTTGCTTTTCCATACAAGAGTAAACTTAGGAATGCTTTGCTTCATTCTAGGTCAGGCTGCCTGCAGATGTAGAACCTTTCCTTATTGCCAGTAACATTAAATACAGTATATGACAAGTTTATTAATACTGTAGTCCATATCCGTGCGAGCATATACAATGGCCCGAGTGCGGAAAAAGGTTGAAAAGAAAAGCAGTAAGGCGGAGATCATTACGGCGGAAGTTAAGAAGTCATCGAGAAGTAGGAGCAAGGTATGCAAGTGGCCGAAATTGCAAGATTTTATAAGAAGTCTACGTCTGCGTCTCATCTAAGAGGAATCCCTCACTTCAAATGAAATTAGGGAGATGTGTAAAATGTGGAAAACAGTGCAAAATTTTGTAGAAAAGCACCACTCGAATAAGGCTGTAGCAGTGTGAGCGATGAATCTGTTTAACGACAACACAATGTCACATTTCCACGATATCCTCAAAAGGAGACAAAAAAGCAAATGTCATTGGATAGGTTGTTAAAGTCACACAAAAAGAAAAAGTTTCCATTGAGCCGATAGCCGTGATTCCATTATAGGGAAAGTCGTCCTACACAATCACCCTCCTCTCTCGTCTCCGTCACACTAGCCACGAAGGTTTTCAAAGGTAAGTGCAGATTTTTTTCTTTATATTTTGTATTACAGTGTTGTTATAATCATTTTTATACGAATTTATTTGGGTTGTGGAATGAATCAACTGAGTTTCCATTATTTCTTATGGAGAAATTCACTTTGATGTACAAGTGCTTTGGATTACAAGCATGTTTCTGGAATGAATTATGCTTGCAAACGAAGGTTTTACTGTATTGAATACAAAAGGTTCCAGTCATGTGTTTAAAATACACTTCACGCTACAAATTTTTCTTTTTAAAGGGCTACAGAAAATTAATCCATCTAAAATTGAAAGCACAAAATAGTTACCAAAGTAGAAATCACTGTTCTGAATATGAAACAGATTTGTTGAAGTATAAATTTTCATTTAGATGGAATGTACTAGATGAAGTCCTTTAAAAATTTCTCTAGGTTAAACTATGCAGTTTCCGTAAGTATAAAGATTTTATTTCAATTAAAGGAAGTAGAAATACAAAATAAGTTGTGATAATTATAAAGCAGAGACAATGAAAAATTCCACCTTATTTTCAGATGTTTAAAACCTTGAGCATCATTCTGCTCTGATGGATTTTTATGTAAACTGGGAATTTATACACGGCAGTAGTACCTTGGCAGTTGCTCTAAATGCAACCACAGTTACCATATATATTAAATTTTCCACTGTATTTTCTTCAGTGTCACCATAAGAGCAGTTTTTAAGATTATTACCTTCAGTCAGCCTGATAAAAAATAAGCATTCCAATAATGAATTTATCTCAGTTCTCTTCACATGAATTAATGGGAGACAGGTACCTAAGTTCAACAACCTTCATTGTTAACTAAGTTAAAATATTTCTTAAAGCTTTATTCTTTCATAACATCTGGGCCACAAACACTGAAAGTCATAGTACAGAATTAAAATCTGTTATGGCGACATGATTCATTTGGTAATTCGTTGCCCAAGATGTAGAGTCACAACACAAGCAAGTTTAACTTACGACATGCTTTGCCAAAAGACAAATATAAGTATTTCAGGATCTATGTCAGCCTACTGTTCCACCATGTGAGCGGATATGTCCTGTTGCTATCTGGTCACAGCTCTTTCAGCAAAGGCATCTCACAGTGCGGAGTCTAACCTTTAATCATCAGCACGTGCTTTTATAAGATGTGGCCCCTCAATGCAAACCAACTCCTTGTACACACAAAACCGTGGAACTAGGACTTCTAAGTGATTTAGGGTAATTCTGACTACATACATTTCTAAACACTGTGACCCAAGCACCAGATCCCACTGTGACATTTTTAGAGATTTAATTCTGTTCTGAGGGTTTCTGTCTTCATTCGAAGAGTTGATGTTCGGTAAGTATAAAATCCAGTAAATGCTGAAATCTGCATCATTGAAGTTGTGTTGTCTTGATGGGGATAACACTATTGAAGTCCAAGAAAAAAGGTCCTTCTTGTTTAGGCAAAAAAGTACTAGGAATGATATTGTAGATCCCGGCAGGTATATTTTCTAATTCCAGGTAGCAAAACCCACACCTGTATGCAAGGAAAATGAGAACAAAGTTTACAGAAGATGAAGCCACAGAAAGTAAAGTACAAATTAGATGCAAAGTGCCAACATTACCTATAGTCACCACTAGATTTCCTCTGAAAGCCATGGGGACCAGGGTCTCCCACCATGGAAACTGTTACAACCTCAAATCCAACACTATATTGCCTGCCAACAACAACAACAAAAACCAATTACTGTTATTAAGTAGTATCAAACACATACCTAAAAGTACAGATATACTATTAAATCAAGCATATGCTTTCTAAAGCTTTAGGAGCAGGCAACACTCTGAAATGCATACTATTTTTACTCTTAATTATACAAAATACCATTTATATTTTTAAATTGAAGGTATGGAGATTAATATTAAACTTACTTTAGAAGAAACTATTTTTACCACAGGCTCTCAAGAGAATACTGTGGAATTTCAGTGGTAAAATACTGTCTTTGTATGCAGAAAAAGTGGAAGGAGAGGGAAAGCCCTGAAATAAAACCTAAATTTACAAAAGTAATAAGCATATAGTAAACATGACATTCTAAATCAGTAAAGACAGGATTAAGATGATGAAGTGACAAATTTAGGGGAAAAAAAAACCCTGTCAAATTGTATTCACACCAAATATACATTCTATGTGGATGTTAACAGTAAACCATAAAAGAACTAGAAAAATGTAAAAATTTGATATTGGGGTGAGATTTCCTGCCCATAGCAAAATAAACCAGAAAAGACAGGTCTGATTACTTTAAAATGGAAATTTTTCTCTATGCAAAAAAACCAAAACAAAACACAATCTGGGAAAAATATTTGCAAATACGTGCTACTGATCCTTATTCATGCTTACAATTCAGAAAAACATGACAATTCCAAGAGAAAAATGGGCAAAAGACGTGAATAGGCAAAGGAAAAAATACACACTGTCAAACGCTTTTACTCTATTGACGAATACAAAAGGGCAACTAAATACATTATTTCACCTATCACACTGTAGAAAAATAGCTTAACCACATCTAAAGGATTGAGTTTTTGAAGTAGTTTGTAAAAAAGGCAAAAATTGTTTTATTTAGAAATATGTACTATTCTTATTCTGTGTGCTTTAAACCTTTTTAAGTTGAAAAACACAGGGGCGCCTGGGTGGCTCAGTCGGTTAAGCGTCCGACTTCAGCTCAGGTCACCACCTCGTGGTCTGTGAGTTCGAGCCCTGCGTCAGGCTCTGGGCTGATGGCTCAGAGCCTGGAGCCTGCTTCCAATTCTGTGTCTCCCTCTCTCTCTGCCCCTCCCCCGTTCATGCTCTGTCTCTGTCTCAAAAATAAACATTAAAAAAAAAAAAAATTAAAAGATAACACAACGTACACAGAATAACCTATAAATGAATACACATACGGGTTGCCACTACCTAAATCAATACAACCCTCTCTGCACCACAGAAGTCCCTGTACGCTCCTTTCCTTACAAATCCCGTCCCCATAAAGCAAACATTTAACACTTCCTTGCTTTTTTAAAAAAAAGCTTGGTTGACATATCAATTTCAGGAATACAACATAGTGATTCGACAGTTCTCTATGTCATGCTCACCAGGGTAATTGTAGTCACCACATAACAATATTATTGACCGTATTCTCTATGTTGTACTTTTCATCTTTCTGACTTATAACTGGAAGTTTATAAGTGCCTCTGAATCCCCTTCACCTATCTCACCCAATCTCCAACCTCCTCCTTTCTTGCTTTTATACAGTTGGATAACCTAAGTGTGCATCTTTAGATAATAGTTTAGTTTTGCCTGACTTCACAGAAGTGGAATCACATAGCTGACGTTCTGTTATGTGTGGCTTCTGCTCAGCATTGTTTTTAAGACTTCTCTATCTTATTCCGGGTAGTTGTAATTTATTTTCATTGTCATGCAGGACTCTAGGACTATTCTATAATCTTCAATGCCATGATGAACACCTGGGTTGTTACAAATGGTTGGCTCTTATAATGGTTTATTAGCCATTTGGGACTCTTCCTCTTACGTCATGCCTATTTTTTATTTTTTTTTAAACTCGATTTTTTTTTTCTTTTTTACTAATGTAGCATATTTATAAATCTTTGTCCTGTAGTCATTAACATAGATTTGATGTGAGAAAGCTGTCTAATGACCTTTTTGGCACACGGATACTCAATTATTTCAGCACATTTACTCAACAGACCATCCTTCCCCCACTCCTCTGCAATGCCATCTTTTTCATTAATCAAGTGCATGTATATGCATAAGTCTGTTTCAAAACCCTACTGTGTTCCACTAAACTCATTTTTAAGAAGATATTAATTTAAGAAAGTTACTTAATCACAAACCTTGGTCCTCTTAGCTCAATCAGTAATGGCCCAGTCTTTTCTATATGGAACTGGTAGATGGGGTTATTTTTGTGAGTTTCCTGGAAATTTCCACATCCTCCAGCACTCTGACCACTCCACTTTCCATTAATCTAATAAAACAAAGTTTCTGTATTAATAAAACTTCTCTTTCTCCAATTCTACTTTAAAGACTTTAGAAAGGGAATGAGGTCACCAAGATGGCAACAAAGGTTCCTCCTCCTTTGCTCCCACTCATAAGGACAACAAACAGCTATTCAAGAGTAGGACACCACTGAGAGAATCCTAAACATGGGGGTGAGACTGAAGGACCCCCGTGCACCACAGAGACCAGGACAAACTGCCTTAGAAGGCGAAGAGAAATAATACTTGTGGGCCCCATTGTCTCTAGGCCAGCACTGCACCATGTGGACAGGTCTCCCGAGTCCGATTACTCCAGTGGCCAACCAGCATCCCCCAGCATTATGGATTACTCTGCAGAAGCCCTTACTCTGACCTTCCACCATGAGGACTGCAGGGCAATCTGCGGCAGTGGAGGGGGGGGAGCTTGCAACAACCAGCGCATGGACCTTGGCAGACTGAATTCATACCTGCGGTGTCCAAGTAGCAATCGGCTCGTGCAGAACCAAGTCCAGGGTACTCTCTGACCAGGGAACTTGGCGGGGTGCAGATCTGCCTGATCTGGACACTCGAACGAGTTTTGCCAGCCCTAGAGCCTGGTTTGCCCATACCCACCCAAGGAGCTGAATCACAGCTCCAACTGCTGTAGAGTGCCTTCCAGCCCAATCTGATCAGAAGGGCTGGTGACAACTACTGGATGCTGTGCGCTCTAGTGGCGCTTTAGCCAAGTGGTACGCAGAACTGATAGTTTTCAGAGCAAAGCCTGTGGCCTTGTTTGGTTATGGAACGTGGTATATAGGTGGGCTTGTGTTAAGATGACAAAGAGCTGCATCTCCTGCTGAGTCCACAAGGCGAGGAATTTGTAGCCCCGTTCATCACGGAATACAACCTTCAGGCTGTCTAAGGAATCTAACCAGAGCACATGGGAAGCCGCCAAACCCAACACCCCTGCTCACAGTGGCCCTCGAGCAAAGCACAGCTTGTGGCTTGCCCTGTCTGCAGAGCAACACTGGTGGCCTCTCCGGACTAGGAAATTCAGTGCACATTCTGGCCTGATTTGGGTTCCCGCACGATGAACTGCACAATGCCTGGGTCCTGTCCTGTTGCCCAGCCAAAGCAGGGAAACTAATTCACTGCTATTACGATCTACTACTGACTATAGTAGTCCCAAGTAGTACGTAAGGCTGACCAGAGAATGTAAGCAGCTGTGCAGCCAGATCCACAGCCTCATTTGGGTAGGGACCAAGCCAGCAGTCCTACCCAACTGTTCTCAGCTAGTGGCACAACCGCCATCCCTGTCCTCAGAGTTCTAACAGCTGCCTTGCCCAAAAACAGACAATCACAGCAGGCCCCAATCTGCCCAAGGCCAATACCAACAGACACACCCAGAAACCCAAACTAAACTAACTGGTGGAAAACTGTTCTTGCCCAAACAAAGCTGTAAAGTCTGCTAGAGGAGCCTGATTACTCAAATGCGAAGATTCACAAACATAAGAAACCAAGGATCACAAAAATGCAGGTAAATATGACATCACTAAAAAAACTAATGCTCCAATAACCCTAAGAAAATGGAGATCTATGAACTGTCAAAAAATGGAGAATAATCTTTAAGGATGTTTAATGAACTATAAGAAAACAAAATTAAGAAAACAACGAATGAACAAAACAAGTTTGATAAGGAAATAGCAATCATCCAAAGAAAAAAAACAACAACACCCAAACAAATCCTAGAGTTGAAATATACAATAATTGAAGAAATCAGTAGAGAGTTTGAAAGGTAGACTCAATAGTGCTGAAGAATCAACCAAGAATTCTATACCTGGTGAAGCTATCCTTTAGAAATGGAGGGATAAAAGGGTTTCCTAAACAAAAGCTGAGGGAGTTCATTACCCCTAGATCTGCCTTATAAGAAATGCTAAAGGGAGTTCATTAAGTGGAAGTAAAAGAATGCTAATTAATATCATAAAAACACAAAAAGATAGTGTAAATCTCACTGGTAATAGTAAATATATAGTCAGAGTCTGGAATTTGGTAATAGTTGATGCATAATTCACTTAGCACTGCAGTTTAAAAGTTAAAAAACCCTGAATGTAGTAAAAATAATAACTACAATAATCTGTTATTAGTTATGCAATATTAAAAACACGTAAACTGTAACAGCAATAACCTAAAATGTGAAGAGGAAGAGAAGTAAAAGTATAAAACATGAATTCCACTGAAGTCATTAAGTTATTATCAGTTTAAAATAAAGTATTATAAGTTTAAGATACTTTATGTATGCCTCATGGTAATAGTAAGGAAAAATCCTGTAGTAATTACACAAAAGAACCCAATAAAGTCAGAGCATACTTATTTTATACCAAAAGACTTCAAAATACACACAAAAAGACAACAGGATAAGAAACAGAGAATGGATCTATAAAACAACCAGAAAACAATAAAATGGCAATAGTAAGTCCTTACCTATCATTAATGTAAACATAAGCATTAAAATTTCCAATTAAAAGACACAGAATGGGGCATCTGGGTAGCTCAGTCAGTTAAGCACCTGACTCTTGATTTTGGCTAGGGTTGTGATCTGTTAGTGGGATCAAGCCCCACATCAGGCTCTGCACTGACAGCAAAGAACCTGCTTGGGATTCCCTCTCTGCTGCTACTGAACTCATGCACTTTCCCTCTCTCTCAAAATAATATAAACAGCAACAAAAAAGAAGCAAGGAAGATCCCAAATAACCTTACTCTATGCCTTAAGGAACTAGAAAAAGAACAAGCTGAGCCCAAAGTTAGCAGAAGGAAATAATAAAGATCAGAGCAGAAATAAATGAAATAGAAAACAGGAAAAAAAAAAAGATGAACAAAGTTGGTTCCTTGAAAAGATAAAACTAACAAACCCTTAGACTAAGCAAGAAAAAGGACCCAAGTCAATAAAATTATAAATGAAAAAGGCTACACTGCAACTGATAACATAGAAATTCAAAGGCTCATAACAGGACACCTATATGCTAACAAACTAGACAACCTAGAAGAAATGGAAAATCTGAATAGACCAACTACCAGTAAGGAGACAATCTGTAATCTGAAGATCTCCTGATGAAAAAAAACCCAGGACTAGATGACTTCACGGGTGAATTTTACCAAACATGTAAAAAAGAATTAACATCAATGCTTCTCAAGCTCTTCCAAAAAAATCAAAGAGCGCTCCCAAACTCATTATACAAGGCCAGCATTATCGGGATACCAACAACAGAAAAGGACACTACTGGAAAAGAAATCTACAGGCCTGGGGCGCCTGGGTGGCTCAGTCAGTTGAACGTCTGACTTGGGCTCAGGTCATGATCTCATGGCTCAGGAGTTCGAGCCCCGTGTGGGGCTCTGTGCTGATGGCTCAGAGCCTGAAGCCTGCTTTGGATTCTGTGTGTTTGTGTGTGTGTGTGTCTCTCTCTGCCCCTCCCCTGCTTATGTGCTATCTCTCTCTCTCTTTCTCTCTCTCAAAAATAAATAAAAACATTTATAAAAAAAAAAAAAAGAAATCTATAGGCCAATATATCCCTGATGAATACAGATATAAACATTTTTTTTTAAGTTTATTAATTTTGAAGGAGAACAAATAAGGGAGGCACAGAGAGAGAGGGAGAAAGAGAGAATCCAAAGCAGGCCCCATGCTGCCAGCACAGAGCCTGAGATGGGGCTCGAACTCATGAACCAGTGAGATCATGACCTGAGCCGAGATTAAGAGTTGGATGCTCCACTGAGACATCCAGGCGCCCCCAGATATAAATGTTTTCAACAAAATATTTAGCAAATCGAATTCCACTGCACATTAAAACGATCATTCACCACAATTACGTGGGATTTATTCCCAGGGATGCAAGGATGGTTCAGCATATGCTAATCAGTCAATGTGATACATCATAAAAGACAGAACAAAAGAAAACAATCTTCTAATCATCTCAACAGATGCAGAAAAAGCATTTGAGAAAATTCAGTATCTGTTCATGATATAAACTCTTCTCTAAGAAATGAGCCATAGATGGAACATATCTCAACATAATAAAGGCCATATATGACAAGCTCACAATTAACATCATACTCTATGGTGAAAAACTGAAAACTTCTCCTCTAAGATCAGGAGAACAAGACAAGGATGTTCACTCTCACCACTGCTATTCAATATAATTCTGGAAGTCCTAGCTAGAGCAATCAAGCAAGAAAAAGAAAATGTATTAGAATTGGAGGGAAGAAGTAAAATTGTCTCTCTTTGCACGTGACATTTTATATATAGAAAACCCTAAAGACTCAACCAAAAACCTGTTAGATTTAATCAACAAATTCAGTAAAGCTGCGGGATACAAAATTAACATACAGAATATCAGTAATATTTCTGTTAACAAATTTTCTGAAAAAGAAACTGATCCCATTTACAGTAACATCAAAAACAATAAGATCCTTAGGAATAAATTTAAGGAGGTGAAAGATCTCTAATCTGAAAACTACTATATTCTAATAAAAGAAATTGAAGATGACAAAATAAATGGAAAGGTATTCTATGTTCATGAACTGAAAGAATATTGTTAAAATGTCAACACCACCAAAAGCCATCGATAAATTCAATGCAATCCCTATCAGGACTCTAATGACAAGTAAAAAAAAAACACTCCTAAAGTTTACATGAAACCACAAAAGACCCTGAATTGCCAAAGAAATCCCAAGAAAGAAAAAGCAGGAGATATCAAACTTTCTGATTTCAAGCTATGCTATAAAGCTACGGTTATCAAAACAATCCCAAATATGTATGGTCAATTAACATTTGACAAGGGAGCCATGAATTCTCCCTCGAATCTTCCGCTGTGTGTGATCTAGCACACCCTGCAAAACCAGTCTCAAATTCTACTTTAAAGGTTCGTCTACATGATGAACCCTTCCCTAATGACCAAAGTCTACATAATCTTCTTTCTTTGAACTTTAGTTCTTCCCACAGAATCATTGAATGTTGTTCACTGAAGATCTCGTATTCCAACCCAGACTGCAGGCTACTTACATTTCCCTTGTGTTACTGTCAAGTTCAGAATGTTTAATTGTTAAATGTGAAAGATAAAGTGAGAAAAGGAGAAAAAGGCAAGGGAATTCTAAGATTTTTCTGAGATTATGACCCAGAGAAAGAATTCTCTTACCTGTTTTGATAAGGTGTACGGTGAAGGAATCTTTGAAAAAGTAAAGCTGCAGGCTGAATATACCTAGATTAAAAAAAAAGTGATTGAAAAAAAGAAAAAAGTTTATTGTACTGATAAAGTGTATACTTATAAAAATACCAAAGTGATAAAAGAATATATTGGAAGGCTGAAAACTTAGTTGGCATACATAAAAGCCATGATTCTGTACACAGCCTAGTTATCAAGTCAGGTTTAATGAACTGGGAACTGAACAGCTGGTGTTCTTGTCCTGGCTTTCTGTGTGTTTGACTCAGGACAATTTCGCTAGGCCTCAGTTTCTGCATCTGAAGAATAAAGGGGTAGAAGCAGTTCCCCAATGTCTCTAAAAATCTATTCAAACTGAGCTCCCTTACTGATGTATGGGAAAACAGCCTATGCAGAACAAAATTAAAATAACCTTCCCAGCTACATGATAACAGTATGTTTATAAGCAATTGATTTCCTTTCACTAAGTTCAAAGTCGTGTTTTTTAACTCAATGAAAGTATTAAAGAGGTTAAAGAAGTTTTTAACTGCTTGATCTGAAATAGAACTTATTAGTCCAACATACCACATTACCTTAGGACTAAATTATTATTCTGAAAACTAAAATGTTCACTCAAAATACATTACTTTTCAAAAGCATTACTTTCTGCAGGAAGCATAATTTAATACTGAACTGATATACAGATAAACACACAAATTTATAGAGGACAATTTTCAGATATAAACTTCTTCTATAGCTAATCCCACTTATGAGGCCAAGCATATTATGTACTTTATATTATCGTGTTCTGTCACTGTATGTTGGTTTACTCACCCGGACAGTGTAATGGATTGTATTCTGTTTTTCATACTGAGAAACCACTAATGTAAAGGTATGGGTCCCAGGCGTGGTCAGCTTTATCTTAGTCAAATAATGAGGGCTGTTAATTCGAATGCCATCAATATATGGAGGTGGGTCACCTACAGAAAAGTAGGTTTATGCTTTAGTTTCTGTAGTTTTTAAATTTAAGTTTTATAATTCATGATACGAAAAAAATTAAATGGATGGACCCCCCCAACTGATTCAATCTTTAAAATATAATGCTACTAGAGAATTTAAATTTCAACTTAAAACTTTGTAATTAAACACTTTAAAACTTTAAATAATTTCTAGTAAGTAAAAGGAATCTTTTGGAATACATTCAATGAGGTATAAAATAATCCCTAGTAAGCCTTATGTGGCATTTTTCTCTAACGGGATTTTAAAGTCAAGATTGGCTTTGCTTTGTTTTGTTTTGAGGAAATGTTTTAAGATGCAAAGAACTATATAAAAATATACTTCCCACCAACAGATATATTCCCCACCATTCATAACTGAATAACACTTTTTGTCATACTAGATTCTTTATAAAACAAAGTCCCTTTTAAACACCACCCTTAGTCCTATTCTGTTCCACTCTGATGGATTTAGTGGGCTTTTCAGACGCTAACACACACACATCCCTAAAAATGAATGAATGAGTGAATGTTATTTCTGTGGGCATATATCTAAAAAAAGGACAGCATAGGTCTTATTTTAAGCTTTCATTTTGCACTCAACATGTTTTTAAGATTCATATTGTTCTACACAGATACGGTTTATTCCTTTTAAAACTGCCTGCATGATATTCCATTATATGAATGACTTATTTATACCCCCATCTAGTTATTCAGTCTGACAGATTATTTACAGTATTTTTCTATTACAAACAATGTTACCAAATATATTCTCTGATGTCTCCTCAATCAAGGCCAATGCAATAGAATCATTTCATGCATGTCAATTAGTACATGTCATTTAAAATCAATGCTATATCACTTAGCTTATTTAGGAACACTGAATATTTATAATATAATCTATTGAAATAACTAACATTTTACTATCTATCTGTAACAGGCAAAGTCTCTAATGCTCACAGTGGTGTGATCTAGTGAAGAGAAAAAGGGCCTATCTGTGATCTTGGACAAGGTTTTTAACCTTTCTATGTCTCAGTTTACTCTTCTGTGAAATGAGAAACAATTTCAGAGTATTTTAAAAATTTTCTTCAGCGTGTTGTGATGAAAATAAAATTATAAACCAGAAAGTACTCTTTTCTGAAAAGGCAGTATCATTATATGTAAGAGGGAGCATTGTTTTAAAAAAAACAAAAAGAAAAAGAGAATCCAAATAAAAAGTAACAAAAATATTTTTGAAGGTCGAAAGCCTATATATAAACATCTTAATGCTAAGAATATATAGCCACAGTATTTGTTTTTTTGGTTGTATAGTGGCCAACATATGAATAGAAAATCTGGCTAGTTTAACTTTAATTCTTAGACATACTGCCTTGTCCACTCCAGGATATCTTGGGATATTGACTGATAGGAATCAGTGCCCGCCTCATGACCTTCACAGTGTAATGGGTACGAGTATCATTTTCCTCTGATTAAATAAGACTTAACAAAACCACTTTCCATCTCATCTCCCCCAGTAATGCCCATTTCTTTGCCCTTTTTAAACGAACTGTCAATAATTGCTTCCTTACCTCCCAGCCTCTCCTCAATTCACTTCTAACTGGGCTTATAAGTCCACCACCTATCCACCAACTCTGTTCTTGTTAAGGTCAACAATGACTGCCAAGATGCTATGTCCATTTGTTTCTTCTCTAACCTAAATTTCCTGACCTCTAAAATAGCAACAGATGCAGTTGCTCATTCTTTCCCTCATGAAATATTCTCTCTCCTTGGGTCATGTGAAACCTTATTCTATTTCATCAGGTATTTTGTTCTAATTTTTTGCAGTAACCTTCCTCTGCTCAACTTTAAGATGTTTGAATCCCAGGGTCAGGTTCTGAGTGTTCATCTCTGTACCTACAACTCTCTCCATTGGTAGTGTATACAGTCCTGTCTTCAAATGGCAGGACTTTATCCCAGAACTCTTCCCCCAAATCCAATTGCTTACTTAGTTTATACACTTGCATATCTAATAGATATCTTAAATGTAACAAAACCACAAAATTTACTTTTGATTTTACTCCAGAATAAAACTGGTCCCTCCCCACCCCCACCAACTCTTACCCATCTCAGTAAATGTTACAGCAGCTTTTTATGAATTAAGCCAAAAAACAGGAATCAGTCTTGATTCCTCTTTGCCCCCTACATCAACTCAAGTCCTGATAATCCTACTGAAACCCAAATCTGTCCACTCTTTCTCTACTAAGTTCAAACCACCATTATTTCTCATACAAAACCATGTAATTTGTTTCTCTGCTTCTATTTTTTTGCCCCCTCCAATATATTCTACAGAGAATGTTCTTTAAAAAAAAGCTTCTATCAAGTCATTTTCCTGATCAAGGCCCTCCAAAGATTTCCCAACACACTGAGAATGAAATCCAAATCCTTGTGGCTTACAGAACATCATGTGATCTGAGCCTGCATATCTTTCTGACTTCTTGATATCACACCACCCTTGGCCTACTGGTCTTTTTTCTGTTTCTTTTTCTCATTTCAGAGTCCTTGTATTTGTTCTTCCCTCTGCCTGTAATGCTTTTCCCTCGATTTCTTTACATGACTGATTCCTTTTTGTCATTTAGGGTTCCTCTTATCCTTTCCCAAAGAGGCCCTCCATGGCCACCTAACCAAAGCAACCAACCAGTCACTAACACATGACCCCATTTATCTCTTTACACACATATCACTATCTGGTATTTTTCTTATTATCTGTTTCTCCAACAAGAACATAAACTAACAGTTCCTATCATTTAACATGTGATAAACTTTTTTTAAAATGTGAAAGCAAAGTGGTTTCAACACAGCATGTTAAATGCCTCAGGAGTCCTACAGAGGGAAAGATTCACTTTGCCTGGCAGAAAGGTTATCACAGAGAAGTAACATATAAGCTGGATATTACCCATGTTCATTACACAAACTAGGGTAAAAGGAAAAAAATGGGTAGAGGACAAGGAGGAGAGAGATCCTTAGGAGAAGAAACTGTATGAAAAGAGGGGAAACAAGGGCATGGTATGTTCAGGAGTAGCCAGTACCTCACTGAGGGTACTGTGAAAAGCTATGGCATGAGATAAAAGGTGACAGGAAGGTTAAGGTCAGAATATCAAAAGCCTTATAAACCATGCCAAAGAGCTTAGATTTTATCCAGGAGTTCAGGGAAAAACCACAGAATTTTTGATCAGAGAAAAAGATATTAGTTTTAGAAATAAAACTCTGACAGCAACATATAAGAATATAGGAATCCCAAATTCCTGAGGTCTCTAAATTAAAAACAAATCAAAACAAAACACAAAAGTAGTATAAATACCACCTCGTCTGTATGAGTGGTTTTTGTTAGTCTATCAGCATTATTATTTCTGCATATTATCTACGTAAAGCGTGTCATTTTAAATGTAATCAGGTAAATAAAATTTCAATTGTTTGTCTGAATGTTTGTCTACCAAACATACCTGGGTAATAAACTTTTTTTCCATCAGTCTTGTATACAACCATTGTGATAAATTCTCGATTATTGGCAAAATCATCCTAAAAGTACAAAGAATCCAATGTAGTTAGGAAAACGGGCTCACAATGCTCTTAAGTGGGAAGAAAATTTAAATTTTAAGAGCATTTAAGCTACTTAGTGCTATAAAAAATGTTCTCTGAATTAAATTCATTTCAAGGATGACTACACTGTATAAAGTGATACATTAAACAAGACTAAGGCTATTAAGATTATGGTAGTTTCCCTTTACAGAATCAGGCCTAATGATTTAACATCTCCAAACCCCCTTCAGAGTATTTTAATGTTAATACTCTTAAGACCTAAAGCATATATAATCAACCTCAAAACCCTCACTGAAAAGCATAAACTCCCATTTTTCTTCAAAGATGATTTCTGAACAAGATTGTAAGTATATAAATTTCCTTAGAGGAAAACATTTACCTAATACTACACTATTTTCAAGCCACTTACATAAATGAAACAGGCTGGTGATCAAATTACATATCTTGTTCACATTGGTCTAATTACATTTTTTAAAGTTTCTGTATGGGATAGATATATAAGGAAGGGATCAGTACCTTGTCTGTTATGTGTCTGCTGAGCAAAACCCAAACTGCAGCGCCCCCTTGTGGACACTGCACCTCCAGTTTGTACTGGGGATTGTTAGCCAGGCTATAGGCATCTTTCACAGGTCCTTGCTTAGCATCCCAAGTACTAAAAGATAAAGTCAACAAAGAAAGTAGTAATTAATTTCTCATTGAGCTAAAGTAGAACACTATTTTTAAAATCTTTGTGTCTCTAATACAACTAAGTTATCAGGATTTTTGTTTTATTGTTTAAAAATTTTTTGGCATAACTGAGAAATACATAAACAAAATAACTACGTGGCAGTCATCTGTGGGCATGGCAAAAAGAATGCTGGTCTTCATAAATGATATAATATATATATAACTTAATCCTTCATAAATGAATCCTTATATATGAAAAAAGTAGAGACTACCATAAAGCATATTCTGAAATGTGCAAAAAAGTTACCTGTGAATACATGTTGATTCTTTAAAAAGACCTGGATTCCAACTCAAATAAATCACATCATAATACTGGCAGAGATCATCCCATGAAATCCAAAATATTCCTGAAAATTAGATGTCTGTTAATCCATAAAATATCTTAATGATAAATGACGTGAATAAATACCTTTCATATTATGAAACCGTGTTATTTAAAGATCAAATGGTATTAAAATTAAAGATACTTACCATTGTCTATTTTCTGAGCTGTTCGAGGATCAAAGTTTAAATATTTTTGTAACTCTGGGGTCCAGTTTTTTACATCATTTTCACTGTATCTTCCTTTCCAACGTAAATGACTCCAAGGATTTTTCAGTTGGATAAATCGCAGCCCCTATTAATAAAAAAGCAGGAGATAAAGTTGCAAAAGAGTTTTACCCTATTTTTAATTAATTATATTTGAACACTTTTCCTTCCAAATCCAGTTGAAATATTCTTTAATCAACACTTTCACTAGGTCACACATCTGATCAAAAACTGTAAATGGCTACCTATTCCTGAGGGCTATGCTGTCCGTATGGTAGTCACTAACCACAGGTGATAATTAAAATTTTTTAAAATTTAAAAATCAGCTCCTTAGTCACACAAACCACATTCCAAGTGTTCAAGGACCACGTGCAGCTAGCAGTTAATGCGCAGCCCAGATACACAATATTTCCATCACGGTAGGAGGTTCTTTTGCATGGTGCTGCCTGAGAGCATCAAGACTTTCCCATCCTTTCAAAGCCTACTCTGCTCTGGCCCCACTTTATTTTCCAGTATTCATACCCCATGTATCTTTGGCTCTAACTTAGTCTTTCCTCACAAAATTCCCACAAATAATCCTTATTCAGTTTTACGTCGAAAGGGATTTACCATGCTGTCTCCCTTCCCCAGAAGGCCCTTTCTGATCCCTTGTGACCACCCTCCCTTCAGATCCTGTCAGGTCCTCCTTAGCTTTTTCCTCCACTGACCCTCTCTCAGTGCAGACTGAAGCAGTGAAGAGGAAAAGAACATGGACTTTGGAGTCAGAATGAAATGGGACCGAACACCAGCTCTATCAGTTTTATGGGCCTTGGGTGGGGATCATTTACTCTCTCTCTGAGCATTTGTTTATTCACACGTAAAATAAAAATTACAATGTTTCCTAAACACTCTTGTGAAGATTAAATGATGTATGCAAAATATTTAGCAATCAGTTTTCTTCTCCTTTTAATTAATTACTACCTTTTCTTTAAACATTTTAGTGCTAACACTGCGTATTAATTTAGTTTAAAACAAATAAGTTCCCATTGTATCTTGCTTCCTACTTGTGCAAATGTACCAGCCTTGACTCCCCAGTGAGATCGTACACTCCCTGCAATGGTAACACTATTGTCCTTTTCAAAAGTCTCCACTGAGCTTATAAAACCGAGCGTTAAGGTTATGGTAAGTGTTCAACAAATACAGGGTATGTCTACAGAACTGATTACATGGACTCAGAAAATCCAAAGAGCTTGTAAATCCAGAAGGGTATTTGTCTTATTTCAGGCAGTCAAATTAGGAAATCGTATTAATTTTCTAATGAAGTCATAAACTGGGGGACGTTTTTGAAAAACACATTCCTCTCCTATTTTTAAATGTGGCAAATCATAGCCTGGGATAGATGTGGTTTCTAGACATAAGACTCATTCCTCTCAGGAATCTTCAAATTCCTTTTCTCAGTGTTTTCTTACCACTTGTCCACTCTTGCCCCTGCCACACAGATATTTAACTCTAATTTACTATTTTTTTCATTAAACCTAGTTCTACATAAACAGGAAACGTGCCTTATTTCAGAACTCTATCACTTTAAGTTTTTGAGAGAGAGCGCGTGAGTGCACAAGTGGGGGGAGGGCCAGAGCGAGGAAGAGCGAGAATCCCAAGCAGTACCCAAGCGCTACCAGTGCAGAGCTGGACCTAGCGCTCAATCCCGTAAACCAGGAGATCATGACCCAAGCTGGAAATCAAGAGTCAGACGTTCAACGGAGCCACAAGTGCCCCAGAAGTCTAACACTTCTTTAAAAAGGAATATAAAAGAGAGGAAATTGCTGCTAAGCTTTTCTGGGGCAGGTCTGAGCAATCACTGACATTCAAGGACACTAAGATATAACTGTAGATTTTGTTTGAATAGAGAGCCTACAAGTCAGAGGCCCTGAATAGGGGAAGAAATGTTAGACTAAAAAAGGATCTGGATCTGGTTTATGATGAAACGTCCCATTTTCAAAGTTATTTCCACGTGGCAGCAAATGCAACATCGTGGATGGATTCAGAAATCCCTTGGTGAGACTTGGTGCACTTAGAGACAGCAGGCTGAGACCGAGATGTATCTTCATAGTAGACTATGGAATATCACCTTAAGGAGGAGACAAAAAAAATGACCCAAAGGACTGCTGAGACTAAAGTCTTAGATCTTAGAAAAGATCTTAGAAAACTCAAGCTGGTTAGAGACAAACAAAAAGGATAACATTTTCACACAAGTGTTAATAAAATCTTATTTAATGAAGAAACTCACAAATGATAGAAGATTGGCAGTAGCTTTAGTTTAAGATTAGGTCTACCTGCACAACAGAGGTTCTAGAAATTAATGCCTCAGGGAGAGAAATATTTTTGGAAATATTTTTTTTTAAGTTTATTTTGAGAGAGAGAGAGAGAAGGAGGGAGACCACGAGTAGGGTAGGGGCAGAGAGAGAGGGAGAGAGAATTTCAAGCAGGCTCCGCGCTGTCAGCATGGAGCCCAATGCAGGGCTCAAGTTCAAGGTCACGAGATTGCAACCTGAGCCGAGATTAAGAGTTGGACGCTTAACTGACTGAGCCACCCAGGCACCCCTGGAAATATTTTCAAATACAAGTCAGAACTAAGGAATGATCTCAAAATACAGACAGCAAAAATAACATGAAAATGATGAACCCAGGAAACTCACCAAATGTATAACCAATCAAAGATACTAGAGAAAACCCCTAAAAATTTTAACACATGAAGAAGCCTTTAGATAAAGATCAACACTGACTACAAAGAGTTCATGTAAGCAAAAGGAGAGCAGGGTCAACTCCACAAGGTGAGATGTCTGCTCAAGCTGGGTAATACCGCTTTTGATCAGGGATTTGCACAGAATTAAGATATGACCATAAAGCACACATATGAACAGAGTGAAGAAACCTGTCTTGGGGCCACAGTTTACTCCATCTACACAGGCTCTAAAATGCCTTAATCTCTACGAAATAACTGCCATGTGGAACTGATACTATGTGAATAATGCTTCTGATTTTTTTAAAAGGCTATTATTTGAAATTCTTTACTGACATTCAGCAAATTTTTAAATGTTTTGTTTTCAGGTCAAACCACAGATGCCTATTTCTCTCATAAGCATGTTATCTGTCTAGTTTCCTCTAAACAATCAGAAAAATAGCCTTGTAAATGATATAATCTTCACAGAAAATTTCCTCAAATTCAAGATTAAACTTCCATATTGACTTTCATTATCTAAATTTAATTATCTTACTATTACCTCACTATTGATCACCTATCAGGATGTTTTAACAATAAAATAACATACACATAGTACTAAATAATAGCAACTGTTATTCCTAATGTTTTGACTGATGTTTGTGGAAAATCACATTTCTAAAACACAAAGCTCTCAACTTATTCAATTTCATATATTTTTAATTTTTTTGCTTTAAGTCATCAAATTTTATGCTACTTTTAAAGGAATACATAATTCTACACAGTATGGTTAGGGATACACGAGTGGCTGATTTAGAAAGCCTTGAGACTATAAAGACTTGAAAAACAATGTTGCAGCAGGTCCCTATTGCCTTCATAATTCATATAATTGCATATAATTGCCTGTGTCATCTAAGAAGATCAATCTAATAAATACACAGTGGAACACTGTCATTACTGATTGATAACTACTTCCTTCTGTAAGTTGAAACAGGGGAAAGTGGAACACATGGCTAAACTTTCTAGTGACTGCATAGCTCAGGTACTATATAACATCAGGGAAAATGAATCCTCCTGTAATCTTTGTATTTTCTAATCCGTAGAACAGACCTATTTTTCAGTTGAAAATAACTAATCAATAACCTGAGAAGTAATGAAGTCAACCATTCCAACACCAGAGCACAGGGCCAGGGTCTGAAGTACGTGAGGGCAACTAGGAAGAGAAACATTTGCAAAACCAATGGCATGTTTCTTATTCACAGACACTCTCTTATTTTCTGTCCTTTCACAAATATTTATTGAAATCTACCATGCTCTACAGCCTAACACTATAACTGACCCTAACGCCAGAGTATAGTCTGGAACCTTGAGGGCTGTGTATTTATCTCAACCCTTTACTTTTTTTTTTTTTTTTAATTTTTTTTTTTTAACATTTATTTATTTTTGAGACAGAGAGAGACAGAGCATGAACGGGGGAGGGGCAGAGAGAGAGGGAGACACAGAATCGGAAGCAGGCTCCAGGCTCCGAGCCATCAGCCCAGAGCCCGACGCGGGGCTCGAACTCACGGACCGCGAGATCGTGACCTGAGCTGAAGTCGGACGCTCAACCGACTGAGCCACCCAGGCGCCCCTCAACCCTTTACTTTTATGAACAATAAAAAGAGGCATACAGCATGTCTGTTTTGTCATCAGTATCTGTCCTTGTCATTACATTTCCCATCTTTTGATTTCATAATTTCCAATGGTGAGGTCAAATTATTTAATGGAACATAGGCGGAATGATTTTTAAAACTTCATCCAAACCTTGACTTGTCAGTATTCAAAAGTCTATTATACTAGTAGGGATCCTTGCAATGTCTTACTATTAAGTAAGAGAAAGGAGGAAAAAATGTAAAGCAAAACCTTGAACTCTCTAATATCCAAAACAGCATATGCGTGTGTGGGAACCAGACCCCACTTCTCTCCTTCAGCTTCCGTCATCATTCCAGTTGATGCAGTGATGAGGACGTCCCCTTTGTGAAATCTGGAATGACCCCGACAGAGAAATAATTAAAGAAAACATTTCTGTAACCTCAGATCACACTATCTTTCCTTTAGTCTCAAGGTTTACATGAAAATTTCCGCAAATTTGAAATCTTTTCTAAAATGGGCTATTCCCGACACCCTTCAAAGAACAGGAAGTACATTTGTATTTCACAATGTAGCAGATAAATTATCATACTGCCCCACTCTCCTCCAGTTTTAGTCAATTATTAGGTAGAAACTTATCAGTGAAGGAAAGTAAATGCTAAGTTTTCAAATGATTTACAAATAAAGTTGAAGATGTGAAATACATTTTGTAAGATCTTTGAAGTTTTCTAGTTTAACTAATGAATGTGTACTGTATAGACAATTTTCCAGTCCTTACATGTGGATCATTCTTTTAAGGCTTAAGCTACCTTCCTCTTTATATTCTCAGACTTCTCTTTTTCCACCTTCCCTCAAATTGTAGGTACTTAGGAAGTACAAAACAAGTTGTCCATATGACATATTCCAGATTCAAATGTTTTGGGATTATTTATAATCTGGATTAATTGTAACCATCAGTGAGGATAACCGAGGGCTGGCCGTAGCAAGTACATAAAGTGAACTCTATTTTAGAAACACAATTTCCCGGGGTGCCTAGCTGGCTCAGTTGGTGGAGCATGCGACTCTTGATCTCAGGGTTGTTGAGTTCGAGCCCCATGCTGGGTGTAGAGATTACTTAAACCAAAAACAAAATAAATAAAATCACAATTTCTCTAAGTAATTAATAATGTTTCCTCTGCAGTATCTCCTCTATAAATAAGGCCTAAAGTTTTAAAACAGACTCTTTAACTACCAAAAAACGGGGGGAAGGGAGGAAGGGAGGGAGAGAGAGAGAGAGAATATGAGTATGTTTACCTTTGATAAAGCATTCTGAAAGAATTATCCTTACTGAAAGTTTGGCTATCTGAATGCATAGCGATCCTTTCTGGTATCCACCCAGTCAGTGCATGAAGATCAATATTCTGTAACATAAACACATTTTCAGGAGTGTCTATGTTGTTGCCAGACTCTTAAATCCCACTAATTTGATATAATGATTTCGATAGAATAAATCAGAGGGTAGTAAGCTGTTTTCTACCACTAATAAATTTCTTGTTTAACTCAAATTCCTACTTGGATTTAAGCACAAGTTTATCTATTCCTTATAATCTCTGTTGCTTTCCCTGAATGCAAGAATTATTTTACTGGTAAGTATGATGAAAACTCAAAACATGTAACAGGAAAGAGCTACTTTAATAATGATGGTGACTGTCATTCACCATTTAGTACTCACTAAAGTGACTCACTTGTGAGAGTCACTTTCCTAATGATTTACATATATTCTCATTTTCTAGGCTATGCTGGGTAAATTAAAAGGCACTGAATTGGAAAGCTAAACTGAAAATATTTGAAGGACAGAACAATTGAGCATGCAGGCTGAGAAAAAATTTTAACATCGTATTTCATTTACCTATCACCTATACATTCTCTGCCTAACATTGTAAGAACCAGAGAGTGAAGGAGGCCTGTACCAGGCAGGGAAACTAACCAGCTATGAACAATGGATGATTTGCATACATTATTTCATTTAGTCTTTACAATTCTGCAAGGTGGGGGTTATCCTCATATTTTAGACAAGCAAAGAGGCTAAGAGTGCTTAAATACCACTTCTAAGGCTCCAGGCTGGTTAGTGCCATAATTCAAAGTTATACTAATATGACTAATCTAAGCCCAGTTTACCTCATACAACTAAAGGACACTGGCACACACCTTGTTTTATAGGCTAAGTAGTGTTAGGATTGGGAAAAATTAAGAAACAAGAAACTCCTTGAATGTGAATTTATAAAATATATATATATATATATATATATATATAAAAGGATGACAATATGACATATAGATGACAATATGACACATAAAATATGACAATATGACATATAAAATACACACATATATATATATATATAAGGATGACAATATGACACATCCTTTGATCTGAAGAGACTTCTTTGGAAAGGTACACTGTATCTAACCGGTCTTGTATCCCAACAGGACAGGAGACATATATTGTAAGCTTCCCTGAATACTGAGTCTTTACAATGCTCTATCCTTGTAAAAGAAAATAAGTACTTCCTTAATAGGGGAATTGGATCAGCATTTTTCAGGAGTTAATATTGTTTTATTTTCCTTTAAACAAACATATCCTCCATAATCTCTCAAAATAGTCATACTGGATAGTATAAGTCTGTCTGGATCATCCTGTTACTTACTGAATTGGATCCTGGGAAATCATATCCTCCCATGACCTTCATATATGCTTTCTCTATGAGAGAAACCCATAATTCACTTTTGTTGTTAGAATAAGAACAGAGCAATTCTCCCTTATGATCAACAGGTAACTGATCATCAATTATCACCTGGAGAAAGAGAACATTAATTTCCTTAGGTGGTACAAAATATCTTAAAATCCTTCCTATCAAGGAAAAAAATACCTTTCATACAGATGAAACAAAGGCACAATATGACTATTATAAAGATCATGATAGTTTCAGATTTCTAGAATCTGGTCAATTATAAAATGTTATACATATATGTCTTTATTCAATTTTACAGGCTAATCTCCCTATCAGGTGATACCTTTGAGCCAACTGGTTAAATGGATCTACCATCAAAATTATTACAGATTCTAGAAATGTACATTATATCTGAAATAATTACAAAAGGGCTTCACTATTAAGGTAAAAATATTATTACTATCTGTACCTTTAACCTAAACCTAGAAAAAGACTCATGTTCAGTTGTAAAAGTAGAATATTATGGCTAAAAAATATATTTAAATAAGGGAAGAGATCACCACAAATACAGTTTCTAGTTCACATTATAAAGTGATTTGGGAAACAAGGATAGGAAGAATTTCGATCTAACACTAATATGAGAATCATGGAACTACATTTTCAAAGATTCTTTAAACAAGGAGTTAAAGATTACAGTTCAGAAAAACCATTCTCAATAATTTTAAGTAATCAGCTAGAGCAGCAGTTCTCAAAGGGTGTTCTCAGCAGCATCCGTGTCACCTGGGAACTTGTTAGAAATGCAAATTATGGCCCCACCCACAACTTCTGAACCAGAAACTCTGGGGGTGGGGCCCAAAAATCTGTTTTAGCAAGCCCTGCACCTACTTCTATATACACCAAAATTTGAGTATTACTGAGCCACTGAACAACAACTCAGCTTCTCAAACTGAAAGGACTGTTTAAATGCAGATTCTCATTCAGTAGGTTCAAGGTGAGGCCTAAAATTCTGCAATTCTAGTAAGTTCCCAGGAAATGCTAATGTTGATCCACAGACTTCAGAGTAGACAAGAGCTAGAGAATCCCAACAATGCCAGGCCATCACAACAGGTTCACAGTTCTTAAAGAAACTAGTGTAATTTAAAACTGCATATATATTTCATAAAGGAAAACATAATTCTAAAGACTTCTTATATCTGAACTTATGACTATACATATAAACTCTTGTGACCTAACAGATTTAGTTTTGTCTGATTTCCTTTTCTTTTTTAATCAATTAAAAACTATCAGATTAAAGTTTAAGCATTGGTAGTCATTAGCTCATTGTTACTTTCTGAAACTTTCTATAAATTTCCCAAAACCATTTTTAAAATGACTTTCTTGATTTTTAGTTTTAATTATTAATATATGATGTTATAGGTAATAATATGCATAAAACCAGACTCAAAATCTTTTTAAATGTTTACACAAATTAACATTTCTTAATGATTCTACTCAATATTCAAAGGTGGGGAAGGGAGAGAGAGAAGGGGTTGGGGATGGGGAGAGACATTATTCACCTTTCTTGGGACACCATTGAGGTGAAGTTTTACCATATACTTTCCACATGGATTGTATTCTGGCTCACCATCCTTATTCTGAGGATAAATTATGCTTTTGTAAGGAAAATAAATATTGAAATACCAAATTAATATTCAATATAAATTACTAAGCAGGATATTATATTTTATTTAGACAGATGTCTTGGCAATTTTATAAAAATAAACTTGAGAATATTTTTCTATAATAGGCCTAGAAAAAGAATTTCATGCTTATTTAATACAAAGAAAGTATCTTACGAGATCGCACAACAGGGAATAAATTTCACAATACTCTGAAAAATACTAAGCTTTTAATTATGTACTCTAATAAATTTTCTACTAAGTGGATATATTTTAAGCCAGTTAAAATAATCTTCTACCACTGGCTCAAGAAAAGACCATTTCAGTTAACCAGAACTACTTAACTACAACTCTGACAGAGATAAAGTTACACAAAGTTATCCAATAAGATACTTGTATCAGTATCAATTTTCTTTTACACTACATATTATTTATATGATCTATTTATCCAAGATGGTAAACAGCTTGAAACTAAGGTCTGTATTTAATTCATCTTTGTAATCTCAGGACTTACACAAAAATCACTCAGGACAAGTTGCATGAAAAAATTGTAATGCTTAATTTTTACAATGAATGATTTTAAGCTAATAAAACTTTTAAAAATTGAGAAAAAAAGTATTTTGGTAACATTTCAGGACACACTAAAGCAGTTCTAGCCAACAGAAATATTTTATATTTTTCAGTAGGATATTAAGTTAAAAAGGTGAGATTTTAATATATTTTATTTAACTGAACTTATCCAAAATACTATTTCAATGTGTTATCACTATAAAAATTTGAGATATTTTCCAATTTTGTATTTTGTGCTTAGTTTTCAAAAATCTGATGCATTTTACACTTAACAACCCGTTTTGATTCAGACTAGCCCATTTCAAGTATTCAATATCCACATGTGGCTTGTGGCTACCAAAGAGTATAATTATACATATGACATAATTTTATTTTACCAATTTACCAATTTCATTTACTTCAAAATACATACATACATATATATATATATATATATATATATATATATATATATATATATATTTAACACACATGCATATGTTCTTAAACTATTTTAGGGAACTTTTTCACATTCACAAATCATCTGCTTAACACACAAGGTAACATATTCTAAGTGAAATGCCTTCTTCACTTTCTATGCAGATAAGACCTAAGCTATTAATTTCTAGTTAAGAAACAATTACATGAAAAGGGCTAATGGGACAAATACAAAATTTTACCTGGTAATCAACTTCTTATTAAATCGTCTTTCATAAGCTGCACTGATAGCCAGTGATGCCACAAAGGAACAATCTGATACTATTGTCTGTTAATAAGAATTTATTAATATATCAATTTGTTCATTCATGTAATTTCAACATTAGTTAATCACTGCACCCAAGCACCAACTTTTTATACGGAGTACCCTAACTGTTGCTTGAATACTAAAATAATAAATAGAAATGCTATGCTGCCAACTCATACAAATTTTCTTCAAACGAATCCTAGAAAAACTAAGGTATTTCAATAAAGTTAATTTAGAATACATATGAATGATGTATTTCTTACATGGATAAAAGCATACTTCACCAAATCCACACATTTTTAATAATTTAAAGGTATTTTAAAAAATGGTTTATCATCATATTACCAATTAAAGTGAACACGCACATGAAAAGATTCTTGAATCATAATATTTTAGGACCATTGTTTTTATACCAATTGGAAGATATCTGTACGTCAATGCAAAGCTTTTATTAATAAAGCTTGCAATAAAGCCATATTGTTGTTCTACCACTGAAGTGTTTTTAATAAGCCTAATATCTCCCTTTTTAAAAAATGTATATTCTCTTATCAAAGGTGATGTTCAGATCTTCAACTTTCTCATCTGTAAGAACATATTGATAAACAGGGCCTATATAAAAATCTCTAACTGCTCAAAACACTTACTTACATTATCCCAGTATGTCTAAGTCAAAGTGTGCAGAATAATCTTTCCAATTATACTCATGCACCTCAGTATATAATAAAAACTAAGAAAAAACCCAAATATACATTTAAATTACTTCAAAATGTTAGCTTTCATATAAAATTATATAAAATATTTACCTGCTTTATGCTAAAACTGGACACAGTATAAATCATTGTAGGATTGTTGGTGAGGTCTTCTGGTCGTACCCATTTGGAAAATGTAGCTTTTTGTTTAGGTGATAACGGTAGCTTGCCCCACCTATCACTGAGGTAATAATAAAAATTAAATACTACTACTAATAACAAAATTAATCTTTAAAAATAACACAAAAACAAAATTAAATTTCCTAGAGATTTTTTAGGGGGGAGGTATAATGATCATAGCTATGCTTGTACCATCCTAAAATACTGCTTTAAGAATATAATTTAAAAGTTTAATGTAGCATTGTTATATTCAAGGAATTCAGTTTCAATAAAATGGAGCCATTAATTACAATACAAACTGATTCAAATCAAAGGGACCTAGGAAGCTACAGATCCTTACCGTGGCTCGACAGACTCTTCTCTGCAAGGCTAACGTTTAGAGTAGCTAATTACTAAGTAATAACCACGTGTTAGGCATCATGCTAAAGTATTTTACATACGCTATTCATTTAACCTTTAAAACAATTCCATTAGAGCAAGTATTTTTGTAAAAGGCTTAAAGTGATTAACTTGCCAAGGTCACACAGCTAAAAAGTGGCAGAAGTGGTATTTGAATCCAGGTCTCTGGTGCCAAATCCACCATTCTTATCCATTACCCTCTAACTCACTGTGTGTTGGGAATACACTGTGTAGAATTCCTCTAAAATTAATGTATAGCACAGAATAAAAAACATCTACCTTTCCTTAAACCTCTTCTAGAAGAAGGGTAACAGTCTTCAGGTTTCTTAAGATTTCTAGGATAATACAAAGTTTATGATATGCAAACTGAAGCAAATATGCTTTTTGCAGAAAGTGTTGATACTAGGCAAAAGGAGGTTCTGTGATCAGGTGTGATCTACAAACTCCTACATTGTTTTTTTTCATTAGAGGACATCTGTAAATGTTTAATAAACCAAGGTTTATGTAAATTTCTTAGACTATCATATATAACACTTCTCAACCTTTTTGATGATCGTCTCATAGAACCACTGGTGTTCTAGGTACCATTTTGGTACCTGAGTAGTTAACAGTAGCTGATTGTTAATGGAAAATGAGCTGAATGAATTAAGAAGAATTTAAAGACAGCCATCACAAAATTTTAGGGGAAAATATAAAGTTAATTCAAATAAAGTTAGTTTAATCACTTTGTATCAACCTGCCATGAGAATAGAGTAAATCCAAGATTCCTTAATATACGATCTCTCAAAAGTCCCCACAGTTATCAAATTCAATGTTTTCTTATAACTTTAATCACTCAACCTTTCTAGCCAAAGATTCACAAATTGTGGAGCCCTTCTTCATTAGTCTGTTACCTGTGAATTTTGAAATATTTACTGTTACTTTTTCTTCTGATTACTGGAGCATAATTTAATTAAAGTAGACATGTTCTCTGTCCTTATGAAATTTATAATCCACCGTGGAAGCCTGGCATTAAACAAGTAATCTTATACAAAACATGTAAAATTCCAACTGTGACCAGTGTTATGCCTAAATTAAGGGAATTTGCATGGTGTTACATTTTAGTGTTTCAATTATAAGCATTTTCCCATGTTACTTAATTTCTTGAAAACATGTTGTTCATCGTTGTATAGTATTTGTCTTAAAGACTTTCTGTTGCATGAGCACTAAAAACATGATTTATCTTAACTTGTTACACAAAAACTGGAACTGCAAGTTTACATCTCTACTTGGACATAACCATTTAAGAATATATTAGAATAACTGATTCACACGTTCACAATTACAATATTGATGAATATCTTTTATATCAATTTTTTACTACATCCATAAACACTTTTCAGAAATGGTTTCCTGAAGTGAAATTATTGTTCAAAGGGATACATTTTTTGTTTTCTTGTGTATTGTAAACACTTTGAAGTGTCTGAAATGTACAACCAAATTTTGTAATATAATTTAGCATTTAACAAAGTAATTATTTTTCTACCAGTTAACCCTTATTATATTAACAATATAACAAGTACCAGTAAGTGCTTTGTATTTTATTGACTAATTACAGTAACACTTTGAGGCAGATTCTACTATTATTTTAAAATCTGAGACAGATTTAAGAACTTGCCCAGCATCATACAGGATATGAAACTGGATAGTCTGGCTCTAGAATTTGTGTGCCTTTAACATCGATCAATACTATAGAACCTCTCAGATATAAAAATGTCTCAGACTCTAATCAGTAACCAGCATCACATGGTTGAGTGCAAAAACTTAGGTTGATAACCCATTGGCTTGGAGATATCTAACTTTTGCCCATCTAAGAGTAACAAAACACTAGAAAATGGGCAAGAGCCCTTTTGTTCTTTATAGAGCCTTTTACATATTCTGTATATAATAAACAATCAACTCTGATTTTTTTCTGGTAAGTATAACAAGCTCATTGCAAAAATTTTGAAAAATTTTAAAAAGTTAAATCACCCAATTTTCCCATCAAGATAACCACTGTAAATACTGGATGTGTACCTTTATATCTTTTTTCTACATCTCTATAAATACATAAAAAAGGAAAAATACACATACAACATCCAAATTTTTTCTTTTTTAATTTACTACACTGCAAGCGTTTTCCCTACATCTTTCAAAGATGCGTTTTTTATTGGTAGCATAAACATTTACTATAGCATAGATGAGCCATTAATTTAATCATTTCCATATTTTTGGATAGTTTGTTTCAATAATTTTTTGCTCTCACAGATGTTTTGATGAATGCTCTTATTATACACATATTTAACCAAATCTTTATTTCCTTAGGATTAGTAGAAGCCAGGAGTCATGAACCAAATAACATTTTTAAGGCTCTTAATATAAGTTGCCACAGTGCTGGAAGGCTGTGCTAACCAACACTTTCAAAATTAACCCTTTCTTGAACTGGATTTTAGTAAACAATGACACTGTCATTCCGCAACTTTTCCATTCAATTTCTTTACTGACTTTGTTGTTGGGATTCAAACACCAATTTGACAAACATTTACTGAGGGCTTACTCTGTGCCAGGTACTGTGCTAGTGTAATGGTAGGCAAAAGGAGATTCGTACGTACCCATTACCAGGCAAATGACAACAGAGATACTCTTGCTATGTTGCCTTACCTTTTTCTCACAGCTGTACCTCTCTTCCAAATTTTTATTACAAATTATAATTTCAAGGCTGTGAATTAAGTTGGATTTCAGAGTATGGAAAAACTACAGAAAAATTAAAATCTTGGAAGTAGAAATTACAATAGTACTTACTTACCAAAAAGGCATTGGATAGGCAAAACGTTCCCTCAGATCAATACTCATGAAAGGAACATATTCTATACCATTTATTTTTGATGTTGTCCTATAAAGCACAAGAAAAAAAATCTAATTGTTCAAGTTTATCTTAACTACCAATCTCATTTAAACGCCTTAAAATTATATGACAAGGTACGGCGCTGTAGTAAAGTGACAATCTCATACTGTTGAGATCTTTATTTTAATATCATTTTCACAAAATAGTTGAATACCAAAAAATAACTGATTCAGTTCAATTCATTGAGAGTTATCCTTTTAATTTTTTTTTTCAACGTTTTATTTATTTTTGGGACAGAGAGAGACAGAGCATGAACGGGGGAGGGGCGGAGAGAGAGGGAGACACAGATTCGGAAACAGGCTCCAGGCTCTGAGCCATCAGCCCAGAGTCTGACGCGGGGCTCGAACTCACGGACCGCGAGATCGTGACCTGGCTGAAGTCGGACGCTTAACCGACTGCGCCACCCAGGTGCCCCGAGAGTTATCCTTTTAAAACTAACACCCTTCACAACTAAACCATGGTCTCAAGATAAGCCTATACTAAAGGTATCAAAAGTATCCCTGACACCAGGACACAAAACTTAGGCTTCTATCCTAAGCCCAAAGGGAGAAAGTGATCACTTAATTATTTTGGAACTTAAAAAACATGACATTTACAATTCTGAAAAATAATATGTCCTTCAGATTTTCTGGTTATGAGCATGACTGATGGGTAGTGCAAGAAGGAAGCTATGGTCGTTGACAAATTAAAGAAATGTGGTTTGTAGCAGCTTTGCATATTTTGTGTATATGTTTATTTGTATGTAACAACTATTCTCTTCTTCTGTTTCTTTCCCTCATTTTATTTAGAAGTAGTTTCAGGGTAGCTTCACAATTTAGTCTTTAGGTAATAATATTCAGTGAGACTGTGACTGACCTTGAGGACTGGTTAATAATACAGTGAGCAATGGATACAATGACTGTGTATTCTCATTTTGAGAGGATGAGAACTTTTCACCTGTATAAAGGATAGCTGAATTCTGTTCGGTAGAAATGGTAGAGTTGTTTTGTTGTAGCATGAAATTCAAATGTGTGTGGAAAGGAGCATATGGATGCTGAGTGGCCTCAGTGTCGGACTGTTACTTATGGTCTCTCAACTCCAAAACCACCCTTCTTTGTCCTGTGTGTTGTATTGGTTCATGTGCAATAGTTCTAGGCAAAATGAGTCACATCAGTAGAAGAATGAAAATCTTCAGGAAGAAAAAAAAGAAAACTGCCTTCTGGTGGCTGTTGCAAACGAAGGAAGCCTTTCAGTTCAATTTTAGGAAATTAAAAGTGAGACTACATGACTTGCACAGTTATGAGCACTTCGGATCTCCTCCAACTGAAGAAAAGCCACACTGGCTTTAGCCGATCTACACTGGCTCACAACACAATCACAAGGATTTCCACAACTTTGTTGTTTTGCATTTTTAATATCCCCTGAGGCTGCTTCCAGACTCTGAGTTGGCTTCCTAAACCAGGGATTGGCAAATGTTTTCTGTAAAGAACCAGACAGTACATCATCTTGGCTTTGCAATGAGGTCTCTGTCACATATTCTGTTTTTTCTTCATTTTCCTTTTTATAACCCTTTAAAGACCATTCCCTTTGCTGACCTAGGTCTAAACTATTTCAAGGTGACAACTGTTTTCCCTAATGGGCTCTGGTTACCAGTTGCATAGATTATGAGTGGTCTACCATAGCTCTATTTTATTGTTTAACCTTCTCAGTGTTCGATTTTAAAGTACGTTAGGATTTTCAGAAAGACCTACTAGAAATGCTAACACTAAAATATATGAGAACAAATTTTAACTATTTCAAGTTATGGCTATATGGCAATATAATTTATACCTGAATAAGAGCACAACACACCATAACAAAGATGTGAATACAACTCAGCGAACCTGATGAAAATTAAATTACCTGTGTTGATTATGTTAACAAAATTATTCATTACAATGAATCATAAACTGATTTACCTGAGAACTTCTATTTCTTCTGCTGTATATCTCTGTCCTTGTGCATCACATGACTGTGGACTTATAAAGGGCTGAGGTCTTTCAAGGAAGGGACTAGTCCCTAGTGGAAAATGTGCTCTCGTTGGAGGTGGCTTTGGTTTGGTATTTGTTGACTTGATTTTACATAATGGTTTTGTTAAAGGCTCACTCAATGCTTCTGCTCTATAATAGAAAAAGGTACAGAAAAACTGTTCTAGTTTTTAAGCTTTCCAGAAAATAAAATTTACTTCAAGAACCAGTCAAGCATTCCTAATGTAAAACTAGTAAGATTCATACATACCAGTCAACAGTTCACTACTTAAGCTACTTCCCAAAGTAAGATTCAGTATTTCGCTACTGATAAACATTAATTGATAATATTACTGAGAACATTAATTGAGCACTTATTGCATGTCAGATACTATGCAAAGTAAGAGGGATATAAGAATGTATAAAATGCAATCTCTTCTCTTAAGGTGTTCAGAATTTTGTGAGGAAAGAAAGACAACTGCATCAAAAGTGACAGATGCTAGAAGTATTACATGCGAGTGAACACACGGCAGAAGACATTAACTTAATGACCGAGAAAAAAGGGTGAGTCAGGGGAGGTTTTTCTGAACTGGATGTGTGAGCCACAGAAGTCCACCTGGAGAGTGAGGGAGCATTCTAAGTAGAGAGAAGAGCACGTGCAGATGTGCAGGAGTATGAAATAGCACAACAAGTTAAAGATAACTTCAAAAGAATGGATGACGCCCCTGTGAAAAGTACAAATGAGAGGCAGGAGAAGATGAGACCAGGGCAAGAGTTGATCATGGAATGTGTCACATGATATCCAAGGAAATTGTGGCTTTGTTTTGTCAAAGGTTCAAACAGAAGTTCTTAACTTGAGGTCCACATAGGAGCTTCAGGAATGTTGTGAACACTGAAATTACATGAAATGTACATGAAAAAAATTTTATGTACATTTTTCTTAGGAAGAGGACCCATAATTTTGAACAGACCCTCAAAGAAGCCAATGACCGACCCACCCCTCTGTGCTTAGGGTGCACTCAGAGGATACCGGATGGGTTATCCACATGGGTAATAAACATCACCTATGATTCTGACTAGTGAAAATGGAGAAGATAACTATGTGTCAAGTGCTCATACCCTCATGAATCTGGAGAGACAAACTAAATGTTAGATGATGGCAACAAAAAGGAAGGATGACTCTTATACCTCAATAAAAAAAAAAAGAAGGGTTGGGGGTGGTATAGCTACCTAGTAAGATCCTCAAAAAGAGGTAATTTTATTCATACATAAATGTAATTTCCATCCTTTACTTTCATCTCTAACACTCTTTTTTAAGAGGTATAGTTCTCCTGCACAAATCTATTGATTCTCAAATACCCACTGAGCACATACTATATGTCTGGCACTCAGCTAGGTGGCTACGGCATTGAACAAAACAGACAAAATTCTCTGCACTCACAGTTTACATGGAGGGTTGGAGTTCAAAGGGGCACAGACATTCATAATAGACATGATAAAACTGGTAAATGTCATATACTTTAGAAAGTGGTAAGGTCTGTGGGAAAAAGAGTAAGCAAGATGAAAGTACTGGAGGAGATTCCATCTTAAATGAAATGGTTAGGGCAAAGCCCTGTTGGAAAGTTGACATCTGAGCAAAGAGTTGAAAGGGCTACAGATACTATATAATTTGGGGGTATGTATATGGATGCAGGCCAGCGCAATGTCAATTTCTCTAATTTTAATAGTAGTTCTGGAGGGCTCTCTGGAAATCTGGTACGACACAACAGAAGGAAGTCTTCCACTTCAATATCATAATCATATCAATATCATCATCATTTTGTTTTACACATAGCAAACACTAAATAAAAAGTGTCTTGACTGATTTGTTATTTCTTGAGTTGAAAGCAGAGAACTAGAAAGAAATAAATTCACCCAGAGGAAGAAGGTCGACTTGCTCTAGATCTCAGGTTAAAGATGGATGTTTGTCACTATGAACTCTACAACACATTTAGAGACATCTGTCAAATTTAAGTAACACAGTACACTGCCATCCATGATAAGAACTTGAGTGACCAAAACTCACCTATCTAGTGCCTGTCGAGCCAACTGTTTCAGTTTATTTTGCAGAGTTTTATCAGCAGTTTCATAAGACTTAAGAGAAAGAGAGACAGACATTCTGAAGCATAATTTTTTTCTTTGCTTGATCCATATTTCTAAGCAGATAATTTACAACGCAATATATTTCTTCAAATAACGAGAGAATAAACCAAGATGACCATTTGTTTTCATCCTTAAAGGTATCATTTAAAACAGCATTGAAAACATGTCACTGAGGTAAACTTTAAGACCACGTCATGTGGTAAACGAGCCACAACTGTACAAACATGGTGTCATGGAAAGCTGAGCAGCAGGAGCCTCAGGAGACCAACACTCGCCCCCAGTCTCAGGTTCCTACAGAATCAGGCAAGATGGTTTCCCTGGACAAAAAGCCAGTCCTCTGACAATACTGAGAACACCACTCTCTATCATTCCACCTCATCTTCCTATCAAATACACTACACTGCTCTCTCTCATGCCCTAGATGTCCCTTAAAGCTAACTGTCCCAAACAGGGTCCACAGGAAGCAGTAAAAGCCCCTCAGCATATAGATTTTACATTGCAACACAATAAAGCTCTCCCAAACCACTTATTTTTTAATGTATGAAATTAAAAAAAAAAAATGGGGGGAGGTTTATTCTAAATTCATGGATTTGTGCTGGTGAATTCTTCCTGTAATAATTTTAGGTACATGGGTTTAAACAGGTTAAAAAATAACACCTAAAATTAAAAACAACAACATTGCCTAACGATTCAATCTTAAAACTCCATTTTTTAACAAAATGTTAAAAACCCATCATTAATTATCTACTCTTCATCATCTTTTAATGAGGAGTGACTTAATTATATTTCTTAACGATACAGTAATTTTTTTTCTTAAAGGAATTGTTAAATAAAATTCACCAGTAACAGAAATCTCTTCGCTTAATCCCACCAAATTTAGTAGCTATACATACGGTTTTCAGACAGAGATCTACAGCTTCGGTATACAATTCTATGGCATCTTCCACATTCCCTTTTTCATCTTCGTCAAAAGCTTGTGTAACAAGGAAATGAGCACGCTCTAAGTCCAACTGATGTTTTGATTTCAAAGGATCTGCACTCTTTGACTGAACTAGGATAGGAAAAGGGCCATACAGATGGAATATTACATTTATGTGTATTTGTATATATCCAGGAAACACACCACTTTAATACATTTAAGACATTTTTTATCAAAACTTTATAATTTTTCATTTTAAAAACAAGGTCAAATAATGATCCCTAAGAACTAATTTCTCCCCTTTCAATCTGAATTTTAAGGCCTAAAAAAAAAAAAAAAAATCCCTACTTTTGTAATTCATCACACAATACACGCAAAAGACCAAAAAAATCAAAAATGTATTATTTACAAAAAAAAAATTTCCCCTGAATTTATCCTTGCCAGCACTTTCTTCCTTTAAAAAATAAAACACCTGGAGTACTCCTCACATACCCCTGCCCTGCCCCAAAGACAAAACAAAAAAATTTGGAAAATGTTGATTCTTTTAAAATTTTTTTTTTCAACGTTTATTTATTTTTGGGACAGAGAGACACAGAGCTGGCGCCAAATGAATGGGGAAGAGGCAGAGAAAGAGGGAGAAACACAGAAAATCGAAACGGCAAAACAGGTCAGCTCTGAGCCACCAGCTCCAGACCCTGACTGGCAGCCCGAAACGACTTTCAGACGACCGCCAGATCGCGTGACCTGGCTGAAGTCGGACGCTTAACCGACTGTGCCACCCAGGCGCCCCTGGAAAATGTTGATTCTAAAGAAACTCTATTTTATTTAAGGAAATTAAAACAATGTTTTTCAGTACAGACAATAATTGTGTGGCACAGTATCTTAGGCCCTGATGATTAAGTTCCTGCTGTTTCCTATTCATCTGAGTCCAGGTTAAATAATCATATATTTTTACTGCTCTTTGAAATAAGTATGTTTGTTTTTAATATAAAGGTTTATAAGGTACTTATTTCAAGAATGTAAAAAATCTCTTACAACTAAATAATAAAAAGACAACTCCAATTTTAAAAATGAGTGTGATGATTAATCTTATCAATTTGTATCAACTCTAACTGGGTGCCTAGATACTTGTGTAGACTTGGTTTCTAGGTACATCTAAGAGAGTGATTCTGAATGAAATTAACCTTTGAATTGGTAGTAAAAGCAGACTGTCTTCCCCAATGTGGGTGGGCATCAACTAATCCCCTGAGGAGCTGAAAAGAATAAAAAGGCAGAGGAAGGGAGAATTTACCCTCTCCAAATGATGGCTTTCTCTCTGTCTCTCTCTCTCTCTCTTTTTTTTTTAGTTTTTTCCTGCCCCAGGGACTGGGACTTACACAATCAACTCCCCTGCCTCTCAGGCTTTTCGACTTGGACAAAACTATACCACTGGCTTTCTTAGGTCTTTCTTGCTTGCAGACTGCACATGATGGGATTTCTTAGACTCCATAATGAGGCTCTGTTATGATTCAATTCCTTACGCTAAATATCTTTATATCCTATTGCTTCCGTTTCTCTGGAAAGCCCTGATTTACATAATAGGCAAAAGATCTGTACAACCCTTTCTCCAAAGACATTCAAATGGCCAACTGGCCCATGAGAAGATGCTCAACATTAGCCAGCAGGGAAATGCATACCAAAACCCAAGATGCCACATTTATACCCACTTGGGTGGCTAAAATTAAGAAAGACAGAAAATAATAAATGTTGGTAGGAAGAATGTGAAGGAAATGGAACCCTCATACATTGCTGGTGGAAATAAATGGTGTTGCTACTTCGGAAAACAGTTCAGCAGTTCCTCAAAAAGTTAGACATAAAACTACCACATGACCTAGCAACTTCACTCCTGGGTATATATCAAAGAGAACTAACAACCTATGTCCACACAAAAACACACACACGTACATTCCAAACAGTATTATTCACAACAGCCAAAAGGTAGAAGCAAGACAATGTCCATCAACTGATGAATCAATAAACAACATATGGTATATTGACACAATGGCTTTATTATTCAGCCATAAAAAGGAATGAAGTGTTGACACATACTACAACACGGATAAACCCTGAAAACATTAATGCTAAAGGAAAGAAGTCAGACACAAAAGGCTACATACTGGATGACTCTATTTACATGAAATGTCCAGAATAGGCAACTCCAGGGAGATACAAAGTAGGTTAGTGTAGTGGCTGCTAGAGGACAGTGGGTGGGAGGAATGGAGAGGGGGTGACTGCTAATGGATAAGAGGTTTCTTTTGGGGCAACAAAAATGTTCTACAATTAGCAGTGATGGCTGCACAACTCTGGAAATATACTAAAAACCACTGAATTGTATACTCTAAAAAGGTGAATCTTATGGTAAGTGAATTACAGCTCAATAAAGCTGTTATTTAAAAAAAAAAAAAAGCTTCACATTTTCTCTCTTAAAGGTATGGTGGCAACTTTTTAGAACTTTAACACCTCTCTGAAGCATATACTCATCCCATTTACAGAATGAAGACACCAAAGTTCAAAAATGTTAAAATATCTAGCCCAAAGTTTCTCAGTCACACATGACTGACATTTTCACCTGGATAATTCTTTGCTGTAGACTGTCCTCTGCATTGGAGGATCTTTAGTAAGATCTCTGGCCTTTACCCAACTAGTTGCCATAGTATACTTCCCACCTCTCCCTATTCTAAAACCCCAAAAATCTCTCCAGACACTGCCCAAAATCTTCTGAGGTACAAAACTGTTCCCAGTTGAGATGGACTGATCTAGCCTAAGGTTTTGCAGCTACAAGCTACAATTTAGATCTTTTAATTCTAAATCTTGAGCTCTTTATACTATACTGGTGAATTTCAAACTGTGTTACCCTTCCCCACCCAGAAATCAACTTATCCCTCAAGAGTCCCCTGTCAGCAAAACTTGTTTTACACATTGTCTGAAATGTTCACCTGAAAAGGGATTCTTTTGCTTAAAATAACAATTAGTCCATTAGATTCTCTACAAATTATACTTCATTTGTTGAACAAAGAGGGTCAAAAAGCTAGCAAAACAATTAAGGTACGCTATGCTTTAAAAATCCTTTTGAACTTTACTTCTGTTTCACTGGCAAACCTCTATTCCTCAAGAGATTAGAGTTGTCACAATCCATGCCTGAATATCACATTTAAAAATATCTTATTTATAAACTCATTTGGCTGGGAAGACAGAGTTACTTTGAATTTCATGTTATTTTGACTACATGAATCAGCAGAACTTTGTATTAATTGAGGCCCTGATACACAGGCAATTGACTTTTCAATACATGCAATTTCTGGGCACTGTCTTAAACTAAACTACCTCGTCCTTAAGAGGATTATCCTAACAAGAAATCCAATGATGGGATCTACTTTTTCCTAACCATGTGCTAATAACTGCTCTGATCTACTGAGAACAAGTGATGGAAAACAGCACAAAGTCCAGCACGGAATGCTGAATAAAGACTCCTCTAAGCTGCTTGTGGTTTTATTACAGGGTCACAGAAGAAAAGGGGTAAGAAGAGCTCTTAGTGAGATGAATCCATTTTTAAGGCAAAATATCAGTAGGTTACCACTTCCTTTTCTACCATGTCAACAGCAGATTTTGATAGCAGCCACATACCTCTAACAAAACTGTGATCATTAAGCCTGTGTGCTTGTGTCACAGCATTTGCCATGCTGTTTACTATAAAAGTAAATACAAGTTGTTCCAGGTATCAACTTACATGTTGGTTTCCAAGATATGGCTTAAAAAAAGAGTTTAGTTAAGGTCTTGAGGTTGAGGATACTGATATAGAAGAGATTATGAACACGCTGCTGAAGTCGTTAACACTGGAGATATAACCCCTGAACAATGAAGAGGTTAGGGGCACTGACAGAAATCCACATGTAACTTTTGACTCCCCCAAAACTTAACTACTAATAGCCTACTGCTCACTGGAAGCCTTACAAGTTGATAAACACATATTTTAAATATGTGTTATATACTATATTCTTACAATAAAGTAAGCTAGACAAAAGAAGTTAAGAAAATCATAAGGAAGAAAATATATTCACAGTACCATAAAAAAAAGTCTGTGTGTAAGTGGACCTACACAGTTCAAACCCCTGTTTGTTCAAGGGTCAACTGAAGTCATTTAATCTTAATATCAGGAGAGGGCATGTGACAGATATTTAAAAAGTAGACTTTAACAGGGTCCTAATCCGGACTCTACCACTGATACAGTTTAAATATAGGTAATTCAGTATCTCTGTACTCCTGAGAAATTAGAGGAGACTGGACTATATTATCCCTAAGTTTCCTATTCAGAGATCTATCACTTATTTCCATATTATGACTTATAAAGACATGACTACCAAAAAAGAAATGAGCAGCAAGAGTGAAGATCAAGACGCAATGATGAAAATGAAAAGGAAAGAGAAACATAGGGGGCTAATATAACACTATATATGTCAACTATACTTAATAAAAATTAAAAAAAGAGAAACATAGGGGGAAAGGATGTGATGAGAGAAGGAGAAAAATGACATTTAGTAGTCCTTTACTAACCTGCTGAATGCAAAGCCTGAACTCTTTCCAGATACTCATTTATTTTTTCTTGAATATGTTCCAGGCTTGATCCTGCCATCTCAGCATAAATTAAGGCTTGTGCAGCTTCCTAAAAAAAAAAAATAATAAAAATAAAATAAAAAAATCAAAGGAATCTAATAAATGAATTACAATTTGAATTTTCTCTACCACTTTCTAACTCACTACTGCTTTCTATAAATGACAAAATAAGGTCTTTAAGACAGTAGTAAGTGGGTTTTATATAACCCCCCGATACCTTTTCTTCAGTTCTCAATTTGTTCATACTGTTAAAAATTTATGAACTCAAATATGAGATTATAAACATTTTCTCAGGATAGCTGTACTTCTATGTTTTCTGCTTTCCTTTTTTATGCAATAGGTCAGACTTAAAATTATATACCTTGAAAATATGAATTAGGCCTGAAAAGCATTAGAATAAATATATAATAATAATAATACTGGCTATTACTGGTTCATACTAATAATAGGTTAATGATAACTAAAAATATTAACTGTCAAAAAAAGATTGTAAGAAATTATAAAGCTTAGGGTGCCTTGCTGGCTCAGTCAGTAGAGTATGCGACTCCTGATCTCAAGGTTCTAAGTTTGAGCCCCTTGTTGAATGTTGAGATTAAAAATTAAAAAAAAAAAGGGGGGGGGGAATTATAAAGGTTAAAAATCTCACAGTGGAAAATCTTTTTTTCCATGTAAAATATTGCCAAAGGGTGACACATTTTTTTTTAAACTTTATTTTGAGACAGAGAGAGACAGATCATGCCAGCTGGAGGGACAGATTGAGAGAAAGAATCCCAAGCAGCACTATGCAGAGCTGGAACTCAGGAACACGGAGATCGTGACCTGACCCCAAATCAAGAGTCGGACTCTTGACTGAGCCACCTAGGTGCCCTAGGTGCCCTTTCAAATCTATTTTAAAGCAGATTTCAGGTGTACGGAATCAACATATTTTAATTAAGAAAATCTGCATTCATCTTCCAGTTCTTTTAATACTCTCATGGCCAGTTATGCTGCGGCTAGTTCTCCCCATTACCATTTTAGGATAACAGGTTACAAATGCTATGGCGAGAAGGACCATAAAGAGATTTCTCCAAGCAACACCTTCCTAGCAATAACCTAAGCATGTGCACTTTGCAGAGGCTGTTGCCAAATTGTCTGGATCCAAAGAAGCCAGCTATCTACTGAACAAAACTTTCTGAATACAGTTAGTGGAGCAGGGGTTGTTTCACTGAACTTAACAAAATCAGTAAGAAGAGTATGGTTTTGATCCATATGAAAATTTACTGAAAGGCTGTGGGGGGTAAGGAAGATGATTTCCTCAGATTCTGTAACTCACACATTTCATAGGAGAAAGAAAATTTTACATGTAAACATTAAATATTTTATGTACTATTATCTAAATACAACATAGTTTATCTCAAACTGATGTTATATATGTATAAATACATATTTCATACCTCCAATTATCTTGCATGTAAATACTGATTTTCAAATAATTATCTGGCTTAAAAGAAATAAAGCCAACTAAAAACTTGCTGGTATCAGTTTTTATTCATTTAATCTATATTTGAAAATGACAACTAAGGAATCCCTCACACAACAGTATGAAGACAGAAAATGCTAAATATCTGGTAAAGTTTACATAAACAGTTCCTAGAAGCACAACCACTTTTCTGACTTTCTCAAGGATAAAACATTCTTCATGCATGCAATCTTACAGCAAAATAAGAGGCACTGGTGTAGTATTTTCTTTTGCTTTAGACAAAGCTGTTTCATATGGCATATTTTAACCTATGAATATCTGTCACTTATTTCACAAAAGTAAAACATTGAATTTTAAACACATACCACCTTCGCGAAATTGTTCAAAAAAAAAAGTCCAAAAGGAATGATTCTGAAACACACCAAAAGTCTCTAAATATGGATTATTACATGAAGGCAATAAAATAATAATCTGAGAAAAGCAAACCACACATTACTGATAGCAAACACGTTTATATATAAAAAAAAAAATTACTACTACTGCTATGATCAAAGTCCGACATTCTTTCTTTAAAAAAAAAAAAAAAAAAAGATGACTGTATCACGAGGATACAGCTACCTCCACTAGGAAGCAGAGGCCATGGCTAAGAGCTGGAGGAGTGTATTTGCAAATCCTCAGGACCGGAGAGCAGAGAGTGGGCTGTAGAAGGTCATATTCTTTAATTATTCCGCCCCCGGTAACTTAGGAATAAACTGCCAAGAAATGTGTAAAGCGTTAGTTATAAGGAGATTAGCCGCACCAATACTTATGATGCTGAAAAATCAGAATGAACCTAAATGTCCATTAGTCTGTAAATAAATTATGGCACATCCACACAATGGAATACTACGCATCTGTAGTTAATAAGATTAAACAAGCAACTTTAATGACTTTTTTAAAGCTCAAATACAAAGAAAAGGCTAAAATACTATAAACAGTACAATCCAAGTTTGTCTTGTACAGAGAAGCTGAATCACTGTGTTGTTCACCTGAAACTCATGTAACGTTCCACGTCAACTATACTCCCTTTTTTTAAACGTGTGTACGTGCATACGCGTAGACAAACAAGCACAAAGATAAATGCTCCGGTAACAGACGTGTTATTCTTCCTTAAAACTTTATTTTCTTCAACGAACATGCATTATTTCAGTGTTTATCAGAGACCACTTCCCACTAGCCATAAATCAGAGCCAAATGACAGCGAGAACTAGCTGGCTACTTAACAACCCATGCCTAACTACTGCTGCCATACATAGCTCAACGGTGGACACTGGCCATCCAAGACTGTAACCAGAGAAGTGGTGGCTCCCAAGCCGCGACCAAACCCGTCCACGGTGGCAGGAGCCCGGGTGGCCTCTCCCCTGCAAAGGAGGGCAACAGAGCAGGAAGAGGGAAAAGCAAAGCTCAGTGGGCCTGGCCGCCGCGGCACCTGGACCCGCCCCCTGGCTTCATAAACAGTGCAGCGATCCCCCGCTCTACCTTGTAGTAAAACACAGCCTCGGAGTAGCGACCTTCGTGGTCGCGCTGCACCGCCAGCCGGGCGAACTGCACGGCGTCCCGCTCCAGCGCCGTGGCGTCCATGGCGCCAAGGCCCGGCACCGGCGGAGGGAGGGAGGGAAAACCTGACGAACGAAGGCTCCTGGCCGACCTCCGCACAGGCCGGGAGGCGGACTCGAGAACGCCGCCAAAAGAGCAGCAAAGTTTATTTTCAGTGACTGAGGGAGGAGAGCGGGTCTTCCCAGCCCGGGTCCGCGGCTACACCGAGCCGCCTCAACGCCTCGCCGGCGCCCAGCCTGTACGGCCGCCCCACTTCTCGGCCACCGCATTTCCCCCGTCCCGCCCACCGGTTCCACTGCGCAGGCGCAGCCCGACCCTCGGGAGTTTCTCGGGAGATGGGGCGGCGGAGGCCGGGCTCGCGGCAGTACGTGGGTGATAGGCGGGCCTGGCCTGCGCGGCGGCAGCGCGCACGTGATCGCCAAGGCTCCGGGGATTGGGCAGGCGAAAGCAGAGTGGAGTCCGGGTGGCCCACCTCCCCTTGGTTTGCGGGGGTGTGGCAATGCCTACGGCGGCTGTTGCTGGCAACGCTAGGCAGGAGCGGCGCATGCGCCTTAGGGAGCTGTTTTCTCCACAATGTGTAAAGGTGGGGGAAGCGTAAAGGGCCATGGAAGAACAGTTTCCAGAGTCATCTGGACCGATTTCTTAAAAATTAGGGACGTAAAATAGGACATAGGATTCTCTTAAGATACCCTTTAATAGCATTTATTTTCTACCAAGTCAATCATAACCCTATATAGCACCCCCCACCGTGTGTGATATTGGTTGAATTGTCAACAAACAAGGTGATTTATCTTCACTTGTACTTATCCTTTGTTCAACTCAATGCTGTTGTAATTAATGGCTTAATTAGGTGGTTATTTGATTAATGTCTTTCTCACGTGGCAATATGGATGAAAGTCGAAATTCAATCATGATGATTCAAAGCAGCAAAACGCCAGAGTACATATTGCATGGTTCTGTTCGTAAGAAACACTGGAAAGGACAAGTCTAATCAATAATGCTAGAAATCAATAATTGGGGAGGGATACAAGGGAAACTTGGGATAATGGAAATTTTTTATGTCTTTTTACGTGTGCCAAAATGTAAACGTTTGTCAAAACCCATTAAAGTCTACGTTTTACATGTGTGATACAATGTTTTTCTTAATAACACCTTAATAAATTGTTTTTTTAGTCATAGTCTTTATTTAAATGGAACTTTCCATAGTTTCTTTAATTCTTCACATTTAGTGGCGTTAATAGTAACTATCAAACTGGGCTGTTGTAAAAAGCACAAGAGTTGGACGCTGCGTGGAACAAAGATAGTTCTCGTCACTAGCTACTATATACAGTTTTATAACTGAAGCAGGGATGGCTTCTGTCTTTACCAGTTTTACGGTAATACTGAACAAAAGCCTTGATCCACAGCAGGTGTTTAGCAAGTATTGTCAAACATGAATGAATGAACTCCCCTACTAAATATATTCAATGTGCCCTCCCCCATCTTGATTACTGAAGAATGAAATATAAATTCCTTAGCACAGATTAGAAGGTCCTTCAGAACATGACCTCAGGCCATATTCCCAAGGTATTTACAGTCACTATCTTGCACAAACTGATTAGAAGCTACAGCAGACAAATGCAGTTTTACTCATAAGAGGATTTCTATGACTTATGTTCTTTCCTTCATTACAGCTTATAGAATTCCTAGTCCATTTTGAAGGAAGCCTTTTCTAGCACTCCTACGTAGTTGTGATCCCTTCCCGTACTTATTCATTTATTCCCCATACACGTAATCCTATTTCTTATTCATTTATTCAATGAACACTGGACACCTACTTTGTGTCAGAGACAGAGCTACATATTGAAGACACAAAGGCAAGAGAGTGAAATAAGGCAGGGTAAAAGCAAGTTGAAGCTCCAAAATATCTGCAGTCTCGGCGAAATGGAGTTTTCTAATCCATGAACAGAGTAAATCTCTTCATGTGTTCAGGTCTGTTTTATCTTAACAATGTTTTACAGTGCACAGGTCTTGCACATCATTGAATAAATTTTATCACTAAGCATATCACTAATGCTATTTTCAATTGCATTGCTTAGTTTCAATTGTTTTTGGTAGTGTATAGGAAGAGAATTGATATTTATTTATTGACCTTGTATTGGGTAATTATGAATTCTCCAGAAATCTTGAGAGTTTGGTGGTAGAACCTCATGACAGGCCACCTCCGTGGACCATCTGCCAGGATGTCCAATCACACCTCCACCTTGGGCTAGGTGTGTGACATGTACCACAGTAGAACTTGTCCAATGTTAAGGTCAAAAGTCCAAATGCCCTCATCCTGCACTATGACAGCCCACATGGAGAGCTGGGACAGACCCAGAGGGAGGGGTAGGCTTGAGAAGACACTGATCAGCGCACAAGCCCTCCTCAGGACGCCCCATGGGTTGTCGAATTCCTTGCCGCCCTCCTGCAAATGGCTTCACTGTCACAGCAGCAAAATAAAGAAGCAGCAAAAGTTTTGCAATTCAGCCTTGCAAAGGGCTTCGGGAAATAGCACTGCCCTGGGACGCTGTAGG